CATGTGTATTCTGTGGTCTTTGGATGGAGTGTTCTGTAGGTATCAAATAAGTCCATTTGGTCCAAAGTCACATTGAGGTTCCAGATCTCCTTGCTGATTTTTTGTCCTAATGATCTGTCTAGGTTTGTGAGTGGGGTATTAAAGTCCCCAGTTATGATAGTGGTAGAGTCAATATCTTTCTTTAGTTTTCCAAGAAGTTGCTTTATGAAAGTTGGTGCACCTATGTTGGGTGCATATATGTTTAGGATAGATATTTCTTGTTGATGGATTGAGCCTTTTATCATTATGTAGTGGCCTTCTGTATCTTTTTTGATTTTTAATAGCTTGAAGGGTATTTTGTCTGAAATTAAGATCACTACTCCTCCTTTCTTTTGTATTCCGTTCTCCTGAAAGTTTGTTTCCCATCCTCTTACTTTGAGTCTGTGGGTGTCCTTTCTAGTGAGGTGAGTCTCTTGAAGGCAATAGATTGTTGCCTGATGATATTTTATCCATTTTGCCATTCTATGTCTTTTCAGTGGTGCATTTAGTCCATTCACATTTAGGCTAATAATTGAAATGCAAGAGTTGATCCCTGTCATAAGGGTCTTACAGAGTTGTTCCTGCTTGTTTGTTGTCTTTCTTTGTGTTTTGGAGTTGGTTCATGTGTGTTTTTGACCTTTGCCTGTACTCTTGTGAAGAATCCTGTTGTTCTTTTTTCTTTTTCTTCTGTGTTCAGTACTTTCTTAAGTGTTTCTTGTCGAGGTGGTCTGGTAGCAGTGTAGATTCTTAGGGATTGGGTATCTGGAAAAGATTTCAATTCTCCCTCACTAATAAAGCTTAGTTTGGCTCGGCAGGTTATTCTTGGTTGAAATTGTTTCTGTTTTAGAATTTTGAAGATAGGACTCCAGGCTCTCCTGGCCTGAAGTGTTTTTGTGACTGAATCTGCTGCTATTCTAATTGATTTTCCCTGGTAGGTAGTCTGGCCTTTTTCTCTTGCTGACTTTAGGATTTTTCCTTTTATAGCTACTTTGTTTAGGTGAATTATTATGTGTCTGGGAGTTGGTCTTTTCATTTGTTGTCTTGCAGGAGTTCTCTGAATCTCTTGTGTTTGAATTTTTTCATCCTTAATGAGACAAAGGAAGTTTTCTTGAATGATTTCATGAAATGTTTGTTCCAGTGTGGCTTCTGTCTCTCTCTCTGCCTCAGGAAGCCCAATTACTCTTAGGTTTGGTCTCTTGAAGTGATCATTCATCTCTTGCAGGTTTTGTTCTGTCTTTTTGAGCTTCTTTTCTATGCTTTTGACTGTTTGGGTTAGTTCTGTGTTTTGGTCTTCAAGCTCTGAGATTCTTTTCTTCGGCTTGGCTGATTCTGCTTTCCATGCTTATTAGTCTGTTATTCATTTCCATCACAGTATTCTTTACTGCTGTTATTTCTGACATCAGCTCCTTCCTATTTTCCTCTTGTCTCTCCTCAATTTTTTAATTCTCTCCATTAATGTCTTGATGTCTGGGTTTGTTGCATGTGACCAGTCATTCTAGGGGCTCTTCATTGTTTGTGTTCCAGAATCTGTTTTCTCAGTGTCTGATCTCCCAGTGGTCTGTGTGAGACCTTTATTCTTCTTTTGGTTTTTCTTCATTTGTGAAGTTTTTTCCCCCTCCCTACTTTTTCCTTCCCTCCACCTCACCATCTTCTTTAATTCTGTTATTCAGGGGTAAAGGGATTGGTTTTGCTTCTGTTTGTTCAATCTCCTATTCTTTATGTATGCCCTCTTTGTTCAATTCTGGAGTTGCAGTGTAGGTTGGAGGTGGTCCTTTTTACAGTTTTGAGATTTACTTAAGCGGGGAGCTGTGATTCAAAATCTATCTGCAGGTCCTGGTATTCGCTGATAGGTGTGTGGATAATCTGGAACCCACTTCCCACTGCCTTGGAATGGGGCTGTGCAGTGGGGCTGTAGGTTTACTCCCTGAAATAAAATGTGGTTAGCAGAGGGAAGAGAATGGAGCAGACAGTGGGTTGAAGAGGGGGGTGGGGAGATAGAGGAGTAAGGGCGGAAACAAATGTGTGCCAACAAATGGAGAGAGAGACCTATACTGAAACTGATAAAAACTAGACCACAGCTACTGATGAACTAATTCCCATACAAAAAAAAATAAAACATATAGTGATGCTTAACATACAAGCTAACCAACCATCTTATTGGTGTGCTGTTCCTCTATACAAAGATATGGTTTACAGAGAGAAGAAAAGAGAAGAAAAGGAAGGGGGGGGGAGGAACAAACAGTAGGAATAGAATTAAGTCATTAAACTAACAGAATCAATGTAGCACACTCTGAGACTTTTCATTTAAGTCCAATGTCCTTTCAGTTCTGATTTCTAGCTTTCTTTTCAAGCAGGTAAATTAGTTTGCAGTTAGGGTCAGTTGCCCCTGGTCTGCTGTGAAGGACAGTTCAGATCAACCTCCTTTCACCTCTCTGGCCTATGTCCTTTTCAAGCTTGTTTCTCCCATTTCGGTGTTGTTACCTTGAATCACCAGCAGGTGGTGCTATCTCAGCTGCTCGCCCGAGAGGGGGTGGGGCCGGACTGGAATCTGCAAGACTGGAGATGGATGCCTGCTTCAGGGCACAGGCAGGAGACTCACGGCGAGCTGGATGTCTCGGTCACAGGAGAGATGGCAGCGATCCCAGCAGATCTTCCCTGAAGGGGCTTCAAGGACTGAAGTCGTGGATCACCTCCAGCCCGGGTGGTGTGATGTGCTACTGGTCGCGGCTGCAGTGGCTGTGGCGGCTGGCCGCGTCTGCGCTGCAGTGGCTGTCCAGTCCGCTGCGATGCCCCAGCGGTGGAAACGGCTGAGCTCCGTATAGAGCAGGCTGCGATTTTGGGGTCCGCAGGTCCTGGGGCGAGAGCCAGAGACCCACTGCAGTTCTCCTTTGCAGAGGGTTTCACAGACCAGGTTGCCCCATCGCCATCTTGCTGGAAGTCCTCTGGATGAGCTTTTTAATAGAGGCACATTAACCAGAAAACTCGGTTGAGGTTCATAGTGAAACAAAACTGCTCTTAAAGTAATTAAAGTAATGCTTTTTACCAAATTCTTTTTGTTTGCCTTTAGAAATAAGTAACTTTTGTTTTTATTTGCCTTTAGAAATAAGTAACTGTTTAGGTGCACTGGGTAGTGGGGCAAGAGGATTTCTGGCCTGTGTTGGGTGTCTAGAATATGCTAAGTCCTGTGCTCGGCTCTCAGCCTTCATAATCTCATTTCTCAGATAGCCTTGCAAATTAGATGTGACTGTTCCTTTTTACAGACTAAGGAAACTGAGGATCAGGAAAGGGAAGTAGTTTGCATGGGATCCCACTGTTGAACTCTGGTTTTTGTACTGCTGACCGAGAGTGTGTTGTGGTTCCCTCTGTTGAAAGGTGGTGTTGTAGTATTTTATTTGTAGTCTTACAAATTCCTAGTGACATTCATCTTTACTTTATGAGCAGGAAGTTGGGGTGTTTGATAAAATATGGAAGAAAAATATTAACTAACATAATAGGTTTTATAAATAAAATAATAGGTTTTATAAATAGGAAATCTGTGATATATAAATGTAGCTCTCCCCTAGATCTTTAATCGTTTGAGCTGCATCATCTGTCAAACCTCTTGAACCTGTAGAAGATCTGGCTAAGATCTGCCTTACGTTTCATGGAATCACTGGATTTCAGAGCTGTATAGTTTAGCCTCCCCTTTTGCCAGGGAGGGAACAAAGTCCATCTGATTTTAGTGACTAGCCCCAGTACCCTCCCAGGACAGGGATAGCCCTGCAAGGTGGCAGCGATTGACTCAGCAACCCCCACCCACACCCCTTTCTGCTGCAGTAAGCCAGGCTCTCAGAAGGGCTGTGACTGCCTCATAGCCAGATTTGGTGACTGTGGCTTCTGCAGACTTCCTACTCTTGCCACTTGGTCTGGACTGTTTCAGAATCTAGTCGTTGCGTTTTGTAAACTTTCAGGACGATCTGTGAGAGCAATAACTTTAAGTTGGGATTATTCGGTGAGTTTAGGGTATTGAGATATTTTTCAAAATGATCTGGTTGACTTTGGGCTGAACTGTGAAATCTTGACGCTCTGTATTTTTATTGTCCTTGATTTTAAAACTTCATCACATGGAAAAGGGAAGTTTATGCTGCTTATTTGGTAACGTGTAAAGCAGCTTGAAAGTGAAGTCAATTGTAATTGTTCTCCATGAGGGGAAGAGCACCGTACACATGAGTTAGGAGTCCTCATCTTCATCCCAGTTTAGCCATGAACTTGCTCAGAGATCTTGGCAACGTACCTACCCACAGTTGTATGACCTCCTTACATGCAAGAGGAGTGTGATGATTTCTCCCTTGTGATTACCTTTAGCTCTATGACTCTAAGAAATGAAAGTCAACAAATAAAATAACTAATTTTTTAAAAAAGGTAACCTCATGGGTCTGTTAGCTTTGAATCTTTAAAATTCAATGCAGATTATAAATACTTTTAGTGGTTTACAAGACATGCTAAATAACTTACAGAGCCCAGTGCAGAATGAAAATGCGGGGCCTTTTGTTTAAAAGTTATTAACCATTTAAAGATGGTGACAACAGAGCCTTACACCCAACACTGGGCTCTTCTGAGTTGCACCTCCATGAAGCTAGTCCTGGTCATGTAAGAAGTGTCTGTGACTTGTCAGGAACTGTGTCAGGTAATAGGGATATGGTGGCAAACAGGGCAGACCTGTCCCTATCTCCATAGCATCTAGTGGTATAGATAACTGTTGATGAATCCATTAGTGAAAATTGGACAAGCACCAAGAAAGGCAAGTACAAGACAACATGCTATGGGAGTACATCACCGGGAACCTCACCCCACTGAGTCTCACTGGCTTGTGTTTTTCACTCTAATATGTTCCTATATATTCAGTGTAGAATTTCTTTTCCATTCTTTCCAGCCATACATAGAAGAAATTTGTGAAAGTCTTCGAGGCGAAATTTTTCAAAAATTTATGGAAAGGTATGAAATATTATGCACATATCTGTATAGTTTTGTACTGTAAAGGTATACCTCATTTTAGTAAGTATCATCCTTAAAATGTGAAGTGTTAATTTATTCATTCAACACGTATTCATTGACCATGTACTATATGCTAGGCTTTGGGTTAAACTATCTCCTTAATACTTTGCATTAGAAAGTTAGGCTTTGTATATCTTAACATGTCTTTGACCTTCAGTTTTTGTTTTTTGTTTATTTGTCTTTTGAGCTGGGGTCTCACTCTGTTGCCCAGGCTGGAGTCCAGTGGTATGATCACAGTTCACTGAAGCTTTGACCTCCTGGATTCAGGCAATCCTTCTGCCTCAGTCTCCTGAGTAGCTGGGACTACAAGCATGTGCCACTACGCCTGGCTTATTTTTTTTAAATTTTTTTGTAGAGACGAGGTCTCGCTGTGTTTTCCAGGCTGGTCTTGAACTCCTGGGCTCCAGAAATCCTCTTGCCTTGGTCTTCCAAAGTGCTGGGATTACAGGCATGAGCCACCATACCTGGCTGACCTTCAGTTCTTTAGCTTCAGTGTGGTCTAAAATGTAAGTAGACTAGGGAACCTCAATTTTTAAAAAGTCTCTTATTGAAAGACCTTTACTAATGCAAGGATGACTGTAATTTGATTAATTTGTTTGGATTTTGGAATCAAATCTCCCAAAGTGGAACAAGCCTAAACTTGATTCTTTATGTAGTAGTGAAATTTAAAGGTGTAGGCCAGTGTCTCTTTATGATCATATACATCATTAGATGCCTAATAAATATAGGTTACTCAAACTAAGGAGCTGTTTGTCATATGACACCTGTACAGACATTCAGCTCATATGCTTTCTAGTCACCTACTGGTTTTTAAGGATGTTTCTGTGATGATACACCATTGGAATCAGACCTTCCCCCACAGAATCTGCATTGACAGTGACTGTCCTTTTCTCCTCCAATTCAACTAATTTCTAGACAATCAGCATGATGATTGTGTCTCGTTGCTAGAGCAGCCTGCAGTTGCTCAGTAATTGCACTTTAACAGCAAACGCTACTTGACTGCAGTTTTCTTTTTCACGTATTCACAGAACTAAAGCAATTAAATACAAGTTGTTTTGTAATTCTACTGGAGTTCAAGAGATAATTTTATCCTGGAGTAGAGTCAATACTTTGGAAGACAAATATTCATAAAATAATTGCACTCTTCAGAGTAGTAGCAGAAACTTTGCCAAAAAGCAGCAACATCCCACCGAGGGGATAGGTTGCTGGCCCAGGGCTGAGTTGTGGCCAAGTCCTGGGCCATGTCCCTTGCTATTGGTTCTAAAATCTGACCTGTCCCGACGCTTGGGTCCACTTAGGTTTATGTTATTCTTGGGGGAGTGGAAAGCGATGGGGACAGTAACTGAAGTGGGGAAGAGGTCTTCCTTGGTGTTTTGTGACTCTGATGTATATCTTTTCACTTGCCACCAGGCCAGCAAACAAAGTCATTTGCCCTCACTGAGGTAGTCATTTCATGTTGTCACAGGACATCGAAGTGCAGCCATTTGAATTTTAAACAATCTTACACACTGGATTTTCTGAAGCCATCACAACTTTACATAAACAAATTATTTTTAAAATTGATTTGTCAATTTTTGTAGCTTTTGGTTTTTTTGTGTTACTACATTTTCAAATTAGAAAGAAACCAGTCTGTATCAGATGATGTATTTGGAGTTTTGGTTTTGAAAAGCACAGGCCCTCTACACATGGTCATGCAAACCAAAGGTCTCATGACACAGTAAGGTGATTTCTCAGTGGCCACCCTGCAGTCAGGAAAAAAGAAGTCTTCATCAGTGTGGGGGCATGTCTCTCCACCTTCTCCTGTGGTCCCAGCAGGGTGGGGATGGGAGGTCGGCTAGGTTCCAGCTGGGCCTGAGTCTGGGAGGGGCCTAGGGGCCTGTGAGCCCACTTCAGGCAGTGAACTTCAGTTGCTTAGCGGTACACAGGCTGAGTCAGGAATCAGGGTTAGAAATGCTACTCTACCCCATCCACCCTTGTCATTTCTGTGTCTTTCACCTCTGATCTTCTCTCCAGAATCCTTTTAAGTTATCTTCAAGGGCTCTAGCTAACAAAAGCCCAACAATTGCCCAGGCTTTTTTCTGCCACAGTTCTTCTTCTGTCAAGAAGTGTCCCATTCAGTAAGCAGGTTTTGATGGGGAACAATGCTCAAGTAACCCCTATGGAGACCTGACGGAGTCTAGCTACTCAGAGCCATCTGTACTTTCCAAAGAGGAACTTGTTACAGCAAATCTGGGCAAAATGTGTGGGTACTTCTCTCTTCCTGGTTTGTGAACCCTCCTCAGCTAGCTGTGGAAAGTGTCAGATCAACATTCCCTGTCTTCAGCTCTGAACTTCAGAATCTGTGAGACAAGAGAGTCTGAGCTTGCCCAACAGACCAAGCGAATTTCAAAGACCAGTCATGGATTTATAAATGCAGAGTACACCCAAGTGTTGTTTTGCCTTTTGCATGCACCATGCTTTAATAAAATGGTTTTTAAATAACTGTAAGAAACTCTCAAAATATAATTTTATTTTACCAACCTCATAGACTTGTTAGGAGGATCAGTGAAACACTCTTTAAAAGGCATTTTGGATTCATTGAAAAAAAGATGCTATTCTAATCACAAAGAATTCTGCTTTTAATTTTCAGTTTGATTGTTGGACTCAGAAATATTTGTAAAAGATTTTTATTTTCAAAGTCCTATTAAGGAAGCCCACAGGGAATTGTGATATTTAGATGTCTTATAATGTCGATAATACTTGTAACTTATGCTTCATAAGAACCTCTTCCCTCTGTCCCTCCCTTTTATCCTCTCTTTCTTTCTTCTTTTTCTTCCTTCATTCATTCTGAGAATCCTGAATTCTGTGTTTATGTAAGGAATCATGCCAGGGACTAGATGGGATCCAGCCATCATCAAACATGTTCTCTGCTTTTAAGACGTGTTCAATCTAGAATACATTTCTTTTGGAAATCTTTGTAAAAACAAACATCTTATATAGATATGTTGCTCATTAATAAAAATTAATCAAAATAATATATATTAAATAGATATGGGACAGATATTTTTCTTCATGGATGAAGAAAACACTCATCAAGCAGAAGAATGAATTGTGGGAACATATCAGAGAGATGTAACTTACCACATCTTGGGATCCTAGTCCAAGCGTTTCTCTGCTGCACTATTTGTCTCTTTGAGAGGCAATACTAAATTTTGATTAAGAAGATGGTCTGGGTTCAAATCAGCTCCACCCACTCTCTCCCTGTGTAACCTTGGCCAAGCCTCTTAACAAGTTGATGCCTTGGTCTTCTCTGCTGTAAAATGGGGATCAAAATAACACCTGCTCGTACATTTGGGAGGAGTAGATGAGCAAGGCCTGGCAGCAGGTAAGCACTCTTTAAGTGTTTGCCACTCTTATAATTATTCATAAACATTAATGTTTTTGTCCTTTAGAGCTGCACTGTCCAATATGGTAGCCACTTGCCACATACAGCTTTTGAACACTTAAAATACGACTCATCTAAATTGAAATGTGCTATAAGTGCAAAATATACATCAGAGTTCAAAGATTTAATCCAGAAACAGGAATGTACACTATCTCAATAATAATTTCATATTGATTGCATGTTGCAGTGTAATTTTTGATATATTCAGTAACATAGAATATATTATTAAAATTAAATGATCCATGTGGTTCCTGTTATCCTGCTGTTGGACTGTACTGATGCAGATAAGAGTGTTCCCACAGGCTGTGAAGTGAAAGGAGAAACACGAAGGCCTTCATCTGAACTGCAAAGCCAAGCCATGAGTACCGGGGAGCACTTTGTGACAAATGTTTAAGAAAACTTACTCTATTCCAGAAGCAACACAAGTAGTGCAATTCCCATTTCTCTTATAATGTTGTTCTATAAATCCAGTTATTTTGATGTTTAACTTTTCAGTAATTATTTTTATTTCTTTTTTAGTGACAAGTTCACTAGATTTTGTCAGTGGAAAAACGTAGAATTAAATATTCATGTGAGTATTTTTTTTTTTTTAAATAAAAACTTCCTCTGGCTTAGCCTTATGAGAAAATACTTTGTTCTGGAACATACTCCCAAAGGGTACACTGCCTGAACAGATGTCTTTCTTCCAGCTTTATCTACTAAACATTCACCCTCCCATACTCCATCATAAACAGTTGGAGTTTTCATTCTTTTTCATATTCATATAAGAATGTGCTTATTTACCTAAGAAAGGAGATTTTAAGCAGCAATTGACCCTTTAACAAACACAGTAGTAAAAATAAAAATCTTGTACTTAATATAACCCCCCCATGTCCTTGTCTTTTGCCATTCTAGTAAAGTTTATTTTCTTTTTCTTATTATTAGATGCCAAATGAAAATTGGATGTAATAATAAAAATGATGACATCTTTACTGGTGCAAGTTTTCATCTTTTTATTATTTTTGAGAATGACAAAAGCAATCTTCATATACAGGCCACTTTCTAACCCATATCTCTTTAGTGTTGCATCTGTTTTAGCCTTCATTGTTTGTGATCTAGGGCTTAATCCTTACTTCCCTTCCAGAATGCACATTTCCTTGTCCAACTTCCCTTCCATTCATTCTCTTTCAGTCTCCCTTCACATAGGCTTGCAACTGGACAATAGAATCAAATGGATTTTTTTTTTTCTTTGTGAGACTTTTACTTGAATGATATTGTTGGAAGGAGGTCTTTTTTAAACACTTGATATTAGCCAAAAGGTCGAAAAGTGGTGAGGTTTTTTTTTCTTTTTGTTTGTTTTTTTTCTGCCACTGTAATTCCTGGCAGGATTTAGAAGCAAGATACAATAACACATTTTTTTTTAAATCCCTTATATCTGCTTTGGGTCTTTCATATGCTTTTCCTTCAGCAGATCCTGTCCTTGAGAACTCTGAGTATCAAACATGAAGCCTGTGGCCCAAATACAGGCTTGTGTAATACAGAGCCAAGGTTTGAAGGGTTATTTGGGGGAGCTCTTAAAGAATCTTACCCTTGATTTGCCACGATACTTAAGCAAATAGGCATTTGCTATTGTTCTATGGTCTCTTACCATGAACATGGAATTCGCTATCCGTCTTTGTACCATCTAACACTATTAAATCTACTTCTGAAATGGAGCACTACTGAGATATTGTTGACAGAAGGGAAGTGCTTGTGAATAAAGCCTCTGTATATACTTGACTCACATTTAGGCTTGTTTCATGGTCACATGGCCAGCACAAGTCCTCTCCATTCATGGATGCCATCAATGCGAAATTCACATGGCCTGCATCTGTTGGGTTTGGATCATATGGCCTTCTGTTACAAAAATATAGTTGCCCTTGACGTGGATGCTTATTTTCCTACCCTGACAGTTCTTGGAATTGTTGGATTGTTCCCAAACTTTAGGCCTCAGAGCAGCTGAGGTTACTTTTTGTTTTCACCAGAAGTGTCATGCTCACTTGTCTTCGAGGTATACATCTTGTCATCTAAGAGGATGAGAATGGAAAGCAGTCTGGCTCACTCAGCCCCCACCCCATCATCTCCCCATGGGCCTCCTATCGGTGCCTCGTCTAACTTGGAGGTGGAGCTGAAGGAGGCTGTAGAAAGTCTTGCCACCCTCAGGCTCCTCATCTTCCAGCGTAAGGAAGCAGATGTACAAAGGGTAGATCCCCACATCAGCATTGCTATTTTAATTGTTGTCTGTGTTCTCCATGAAAAAAAAATCCTGTTAACAAGATAATTTTACATAATTGTATGTTTTTATTTTGTGATTTGATTTCTCAGTTGACAATGAATGATTTCAGTGTGCATAGGATTATTGGAAGAGGAGGATTTGGTGAAGTGTACGGTTGCAGAAAAGCAGACACTGGAAAAATGTAAGCTTTAAATGCTCATATATTTTACTGAAATTATTACAATTTTATGTTTGCATGAAAAGATAATCTCTATGTAGAGATTTTATATAGAAATATAGAAATGTGGGGGCTGGGCACGGTGGCTCAAGCCTGTAATCCCAGCACTTTGGGAGACCAAGGTGAGAGGATTGCCTGAGCCCATGGGTTCGAGACCAGCCTGGGCAACTTGGCAAGACCTCATCTCTACAATAAGTCAAAAAATTAGCCAGGCCTGTAGTTCCAGCTACTTGCAAGACTGAGGTGGAAGGATCGCCTGAGCCCAGCAGGTCGATGCTGGGGTGGCTGTGAATGTGCCACTGCACTCCTGCTTGGGCAACAGAGTGAGACTCCAACTCAAAAAAAAAAAAAAGAAAGAAAGAAAAAGAAATGTGAATACATAGAAATGTGAATACCTATGACCTCAGAAAGATATAGGCTACATTTTGTTGAACATGTTGAGTGAGAGCAGAAAGCTGGAACTTCCACCTCTCAATGGGAATAAATGATAGTCTTGCCTCCTGTGCCCACCATGTTGGAGGCCATGAGAGAGGGGCCTGGGATCCAGAGATGAACTGGAAAGGATTCTTGACACCCAAGGGCATGTTGCATTCAGCCTCCAAGTCAGATGGTGCAGCACAGAATATTTGCTTTGCAGAAGAGAGACATCCTCTTTTCAATAAGGACCCATATGTTATTAAGCAGTTTTGGGCAACAAAGCTTTTCAGGAGGTTTTGATTTCCCAGCTGAGTAGCTGGGGTGCTGGAGAGGAGGAAGCCCTGCTGAGGAAGATCAGTGATCATTCACCACAGTAACTTTTCTTATGGGAGGTCAGTGTGAGCAAATTAGGTGCATATGAGCCAGGGAGAAGGCTCTTCTGGAAAGAGGACATTGGGATTCTTAAGAGTGGGGAAAGTTTTTTTTAAACAAAAGCAATTTAAATGAACATATTTCTGAAAGCAAAAGAGAATGGGAAAACTGATTTGATGGACCCAGAAGAACTACACATCTGATGAGTGACAGGCATGTTAAAACAGTGGGGGTGGTATGTGAGGCTTGGTTTATAAAATAATTGAGTCCATGTGAGTACCTGGGGTCCTAATTAAGCATCTGCCTCCTGTCACTCAGCCCCTGCTCAGGCGCTTTCTGGGATTCGGTGCTGATGGATTTGCCGAGCCGTCCTTTCCACTCAGACAGTCCAGTAGTTGGCATCATTTTAAGATTTGGGGCCTACACTTTACCTTTACTAATTTGTGCCCAACAGTCATCTTCCTGCTTTGGGGCCCTCTATGGTGTAAACATGACGCTTGGCACTCAGGAGTTTGGAGTTTGGGGCTGTGTTGTGACAGTGCAGCCCTGTGATCTGGAGCAAGGTCCTAGTGTCATATCAGCTACATCAGCCTCAGCTCCCACACTTGCTGTCTTGGACAAAGGTTGTGAGCTTGCTGTGCCTCCATATCTAGGCTGTAAAGGAGAGACACTTATATTAAAGTGTCTTAAGAGAATTAAATGGTGATAGGAGTAGTGTGAAACACTTGAAAAATCCTTTATCATAAAAATGAACCATTTAAAGAACATGCCACTCATATGTTTTCAATAATTGATCCCATAAGTAAGCAAATTAATGTCCTATCAATTGATTTGTTGTAAGAACTCCTGAAAAGTGGTTAAAAAATAACAAATTTGGACATTCATCTCTTTTTATATAACTCAAACATGGTTTGACTTATAACCAACAAGAAATGAGTAGATTTCTGCATCCTCCCACACTAAGACAGTGGTCCGTGTTGCATATCTGGGCCAAATGAAGTAGTCCATCAGATGGGAATTCACAGTAATTCACACAGACTTTTCAGGCCTTGAAACATGTGAAAACATTTACAAGGATTCCCTCTCAGCCTTCTGTGGTCCCGCTGAGGAAACTTCCTGTTTTCTTTAACCTGTGATTATAGAATATGCCAAATAACCTGTCTGTATTTTCTTAATATGAGTTTGTTCCAAGTTTTCTAAAATCTTAAATTATCAATTGGTTCTTTTCAATTGACTTTAACCAATGATAGGTAGAAAAACCTTATTGATTATTTTTATTATTGAAAATATTATAACTGAAATATGAAAATAAGAACTAATCGATAAAATGGCATTTTAGAACATGCTCTTTTGAATGCATGCCTTCCCTTCCCATTGTTATCATCACTGTGTTAGAGTCCTAGCTTCTGTAGACTCTTATAAAAGCTTGACTACTGATGAATTAACAACTCCCACTTGCTAAATATGACACTTATGACCCCCCCCATCACCAGTAATAATAGGCAGCAGCAATCACCAAAAATGTATTCCACGGAATTTATTTATGTCCATCTACTTTATACTTATTTAACTGGGAAGTCTATCCATGTAATGGCAGAAATATCTTAATTATTGCTTGATTTTTTTTCATAATACATGCAAAATAAAAATATTTCTTGCATGGCACTTGAGCACCATTTTGCTTCTTTTAAACATTGCCTACATGCTTAGAAACGTTCCCTAGGATGAAGTGTATTGTTTAAACCAGCCTAGGTATATTTACAGTATAGATTTCTAACTAATTTTCGTTTCCAGGTATGCAATGAAATGTTTAGATAAGAAGAGGATCAAGATGAAACAAGGAGAAACATTAGCCTTAAATGAAAGAATTATGTTGTCTCTTGTCAGTACAGGGGTGAGTATTCAATTTCCAGCATTGCTTTTTAAATTTTGTTATTTGTTTATTTTAAAACAGGATCTTTATTATTTTTTTCTAGCTGATTACAGGTCCAGCCAATTCTCTGGTGGGCTAGAATTTGATATCATCTCTTCTTTGATTTTGCAAGTTAGAGGAACACTAGCAGCCTTCATCGTGCACACCCACGACTCTTCTATTTAGTGCCTATTCATTTGTCCTTGACTTCCTTCTTTGCAGACTATAGTACCAGAGATGGCAGAAAATAATTATAACAAAAAAGATCACTCGAGTGTAGTCAAGAATTGACTGTATGACTGAGCAGAAGGACTGACCTAGAGGGGAAAAAGTGAGAAGAAAGTGACCCCTGCTCCCCAGAAGCAAATAGAGAGATCTGAATTGTCCTACGAGGTTGTCCCTCTCAGCACTTCCTGCTCTGTTGACTGGCTTTTCCATTTCCAGCCTGTGTTTCTACCTGTTGGACATTTCACTTTTACCTTAAGCTGTCAGTTTGAACTTAGCATGTTTGAGGCCAGACTTTTGCCTCGTGTCTTCTTCACTTGCAAAGTATCTGCCCGTTCTGATGTTTTTTTCTGTGAATGGTCTCACCCAAGACCAAACCATTGGCTTTTGTTTATCTGTACAGATGCTGCCACACAGGAAGGCATATCCAGAAAAACCTGCCCCCCTAGAAACTTCTGCATGCCATTTGTGGATTTGTGTTCAGAGTAGGTCAGGGATCCAGGACAAGGAAGGGGCAGAGTGTGGAACGGCCGGATTCGCACTGTGTTGCCCACATGTAAATTTAACATCAAACAAGCCAGGAAGGCATATATGCAGAAAGAAATATGGAGATGTCATAGCTGGATTCTAAATAAGGTCATCTTCACCAAAAGGATTTGAAAGAACCAAATATTAATGGCTAATCAAAGAATCCTTTTAACTAGTGAGTGAGGAAGCTGAGACCCAAAGAGGTTAATTTCCTTGCCCAAAGTCTCTGGACTCCTTGGCCAGTGCTCCTTTCTTATGATCACTTTAGAGGCTGTGTTTTTTGTTTGTTTGTTTATCACATATTTATTTTGTTATGGTTTATGTTATTCTAGCATTAGTTTTAAGTGCTTCTAGAAAGGCTATTTGCGATTGAAGCAAAAGAATAGCATAATTTAGCTGAACTGTAACAAATGAAAGCTCAAGAGCCATAAATAATATCTAATTATGTTCCTCTACTTTTCAATGTATGAACATTAAGTATTTTAAAAAAGAGTCATTCTGTCTGTGTGACCAGATTTTTTAACTGATTTTAATGAAACTGAGCATCCCACAGCCTGTGTTGGAATCAGTAGGGATGACACTGGCTTCTTATTTCTTTTGGAAAGGTCTATCTTAATTTCAAACATAGATGTGCTTACTGGAAGAAGATTTTAAGTGATTAATTAGAATATTAATTTTTAACACATTATCTCAAAGCCTTGGATACTTGCTTTCAAGAAGACCTATGGAAAAAAATGTATTGATGTTGGAAAAATATAAATACAGTTTTCATGTAGCATTTTTATATTTATTTGACTCAGGTGAGAGGGATTGTGGTTAAGTAGTTATATAGTTTCTCACTGACGTAACCCTAAGAGAATAAATAAAAAATTGGGGTTATCTTGGTCTACTACTTTGAATTAATTTAAAAGAATTGTTTATATTTTTATTCAAATATCAAAACAATATGGCAGTTTTGCAAATTTTTAATTTGATTCAAATACATAATTTAACCAGAAGAGTTATAGTGAAGTTATTTTTAATTCCTTTTGCTAGTGAAAGGCCATTTTTTATAGGTTTCCATCAATGCTTAGTTTAAAATGACCTCAGCAGGTGAAACTTTAGATTGTCCTGTTTCAGCAGGATTTCTTGTGGTGTAGAGACTGAACTGTCCCCACTCACCATAGTTTTCTTTTGACGGGAATTTTTTTTTTTCCATCTCAAATTGAGTATTCCTCCCCTTATTACTTGGAGACACAGTAGGAAGCCCTGTTCCCTGTTTTCTTCTGTAGTTCTTAGACAGTAAAAAGGGAAATATGCATGTTCAAGAACCAGTGTATGTCCACAGCAGGGAGTGCAGGTTCCTCAGAAGTGTGACTCATTCCTTGAACCGTAGCTGAGCTCCTGGATTGTGCCAGGCACTCTGCCACAAGCCAGGAGCCCCCAAACCTGACCATCGTCCTCGCCCTTGTACAGCTGTACAGAATGGGAAAAAGGTGATACTATTCAAATAGCGGTGGAAATGTATAGACAAGTAGGACATGTGGCAAGAACTGTGGAAGACAGGCACACCGTGCTAAGAAGGCATTTGGCAGGGTAGAGCTGTGGTCAACGAATGCTCCTCTGAAGTTGGAGGTGACCTGGGGAGGTGCCAGTGCTTGTCTGGGCCCCAGGCACATGGAGTTTGAGGAATTAGATGAGGGCAGCCAACCGGGGTCTGTGGAAACTGCGGGGAGGAAAGCAGGATGAAGCTGGAGAGAGGCACACAGAGGCTAGGCCAGACCATGGAGAGTTTTCCAGACCAGTATTGAGGTGCTTAAACAATCTTACCACAGTTGTAGACAACGTGTTTTAACCAGAGAGCTACTACAGTAAGCCTTGCAGTTGGAAAAGATAGCTCCTTCTGCACGGCGGAGGATTTTCTTAAGGAACTACTTCGTGGTCCTATTTTATCACAAGTTTTTCTAGAGTTCCTACAAAACACAAGCTACTTTGCTCACTCTTGGTAGAAATCAAAGAACACAGTTTTTCTTGCTCAGGAGCTTTACTTAAGGGTCTACTTCTCAAAATCCTCTAGCTCTTATTTACCACTAATTTCCAAATGAGGCAGATCCTCTTACCCATAATAGTCTTGGGAGCTGTATCCCACCATTCCTTGCATGGCTGCCTTTTTCTTTTCACTGGGCAGTGTTCAGTTCTGTGTCCTCGACTGTTCATTTTAGGTCTGCTCAAGCACCCTGAGAGATGAAGGGCTGCAGTCAGTGACTTCCGCAGAAGTAGCCAAATCTGACTCCTTTGCCTGCATATGTATACACTGTGTCAAAGGTAAATGCAGCCACACCTTAGTTAAAGTGGTGAAAACAGGCTTTATTCCCCAGCTACTGGCACTAGGGGAAACAGCTGAGCTCCATTCTGACATTGCAGAGGTGATTGGGTGATTGAAAGGGAGAAGGCGGGAGTGGGTGTACTGCGGGCCTTGAGCGGACTCTGGGAAGTGAAAAACTGTAGAAAGTAGTGTGGGGCTGGGACCATGTGAGACCCATCCGGGTTTGCTACTGGCACTTACCCGAGTTAGGCTTCCTGCCCTCCCATGGAGGCTATGAGACAGGGAACTCTTCTTTGGGTGCTGGCTGAGACAAATAGTGAATTCTTTTGGCAGCTTTGATTTCTCTCAGGCAGGCACTTTAAGCAGGGCTGAGGTTATCCTAGGGATGTGGTCTTGAACTGTCAGGAACTGCATTAGTGTATGTTCAAGTCTTTATAGTTCAAGGTTGAGGCCTAGTTGAAGAGAGCGCTCAGAGGAGCCTAGCTAGAGTTCAGTCAAGGAGAGAATCTTAGTTAATTGGTGAAGAAACCTTGTCTTTAAGTAGCATCACGGAGAGAAAAGAACTCTGAAGGGGGTCAGCAGACTTGAGGTTGCGATCTTGGGTGGTTGCCAGTTTTTTTTGTGACCTCAGGCAAGTCATTTCCATTTTGGGGGACCTTCATTTCTTGTCTTTAATATAGAGAAGTCAGACCAGGTGATTTTTCTCTTTTTTAAGAGACTTTCTTACTTCGAGAGGCTATGAAGAGGCTATGATTGCAGATCTAAAATTCATGCTCCATCTTAAAGCATACTATCTTAAGGAGACTTTAACCTTTTGCAGCTGTTTTGGGGCTATCATTAGAAGGATCATAAACCATAATGTTTAGGAATCTCCCTTGGAAGGGACCACTTATCTCCTTGGTGAAGCGGGTGCATTTGGGAAAGACCCTGGTTTAACCAAACTCTAGGTTCACCCACTTCTCTGCTCTGTGAATGAATTACTCATCAGGTCAGGAACAAGAGTATGTGGGGAATCCCATTAAGAAAGGAGCATAATATTTGGAGCAGAGTAAGATAGCCATTTCAGAAGGCTGACGGAAAGGTATGTGGCTTCCAAGTAGGAAAGACCACAGGGCCTTTAATAGAAAAAGGATTGCACCTATATTTTGCCTATTTCAGGCAAAAGAAATCCTAAAAGCAAGAAATGCTAACACCGTCTCAACAGAACTCTAAGGCAAACATGGTAACTACAAAATGAATTTTATAATTCTTTTTAGAGTAATTTTCTCTGGAGGATTTTTGGAAATTGAGTTCAAGTTCATGAATCTTTAGTATATAGAAATATGTAAACTCCAAATTATCTATATGCCCTTAATATAGAGGTTTTAACGATGCAGGTTCTGTTTACAGAGTATTCTGTTGATGTGTGAACATTTCCTTTGGAATTTAATAGTTCTCTGTGTTTATTGAGAAAGCGGATGTAGATAGGCTAGGTAATTATTTTTTTTAAATTTGAATCAGGTTAGTGACAAGTACATACTATATGTGAAGAATCTGAGTAGATCTAGAAGATAAAATAGATCAGTAGCTCTAGCATAGCACTGATGAATTTTCACAAGGGAATACGTTTGTCTCCAGCACAGATCAAGAGACAGAAAGTCACCAGTATTCTGGAAGTCTCCTTGTGCTCCTCTCAGTCACTAACTACAGTTCAGACTTCTAACACTGTGACTTAGTTTTGCTAATTTTGTGTGAGCTCATATAAATATGCTCCTTTGTGTTGACTTTTTTCAGTGTCACTTCTGAGATTCATTTGTGTTGTTGCACGCAACAATAGCACATTCCTGTATCTGTATGCAGGCATCAGCAAGCAAGGTGTGGCCCAGTGACCAAGTCTAGCTTGTGGCCTTATTTTGTACTGCCCATGAACTAAGAATGGTTTTCACATTTTTTCAGGATTTTTAAAAATATCAGCGAAAAAGAATAGATGACAGAGACTGTCTGCGACCTGCAAGGCCTAAAATATTCACTGTTTGGCCCTTTGCAGAAAGCATTTGCTTATCCTAGCTTTGTAGTATTCTGTTAAACAAGGATACCATACTACACGACATTTCTCTATTCTAATATTGGTAGACATTTGAATTATTTTCTGGTTGGGGCTATTTTTAATACTGCTGTTGTAAAGATTCTTGTGCAGGTCTCTTGGTGCATGTAAGTACAGATTGCTGTTAGGTGCCTACCTCAGAGTGAAATTGCCAAGTCATAGGGTTTGCAGGTGAGGCTCAACCTTGGTAGATATCACCAAATAGTTCACTCAAGTGGTTGTACCACTGTACACCCCAGGAGCCATATGTGAAAGTTCCGTTCACTCCACACCTTTCCAGCACTTGGTCTTGTCAGTCTTTTTAGTTTTAACTGTTCTTGTGGGTTTTAGTGGTAGCATATTATGGTTTCAATTAGCATCCCCTCAGAGACACATGAAGTTGAGCATCTGTTGATAGATGTATGGACCATTTAGTGTCCTCTTATGTGAAGTGCTATTTAATTTAATTTAATTTTTGCCATTTTTCTTTTGAGTTGGTTGCCTTTTTCTTTATTAATTTTTAAGAGTTCTTTATACTAGATTTGAGTCATTTGTGTATTTATGGGTTGCAGATATCTTCTCTGTGCTCAGTGCATGGGGCAATAGCCTGAATAAAAATCCAGAGCATGTATTGTATGTTACAGATTAAGTTCTTTATTTTGGTCTGATTTATCAACATTTCTGTTTGTTACTGTTTTTGTGGCCTAAGGAATCTTTACTTGCCCTAAGATCATGAAGATATTTTCTTTTGTCTTCTTTAAAAAGTTTTATTGCTTTATTATTTTAACACACACACACACACGGACACACGTATACCAGGAGTGACAAAAAAAGTATACACATTTTAAGAGATGTTTGTCATAATCAGAAGTGTCTGGAAGCTGAAGATAGCCATTTTGAGCACGTCTTTTAATTGCAGAAGTCAAACATGACTTATATTCATCTTATTGAGTATTATAATTTTAATATAGTTTTTTCCCTTCCCTATTTTAATACATTTTTTGGTACCCTCTGTATATATATGCTGGAGGTGACTTTAGTGTATGGTATGCAATAGGGGTCAAGGTTTATATTTTATTGTATAGATAATAAATTGTTCCAGTGCCACTGATTGAAAAAGTCATCCTTGGTTGGTTGCAGTGGCTCACACCTGTAATCCTAGCACTTTGGGAGACTGAGGCAGGAGTATAGCTTGAGGTCAGAAGTTTGAGACTAGCCTAGGCAATATAGCAAAACCCTGTTGCTACAAAAAAATTTTAAAAAGTAGCCAGCATGGTGGCACAAGCCTGTAGTTCAAACTACTCGGGAGGCTGAGGTGGGACAGTCACTTGTTAGGCTGCAGTGAGCTATAATTGTGCCATGACACTCTAGCCTGAGTGAGAGAAAGAGACCCTGCCTCAAAAAAAAAAAAAAAATAGAAAAGAAAAAGAAGTGGCCATTCTTTCCCCATGCCCTGTTTTGTCAACTTTATCACAAATCAAGTGACCATTTATGTGTGGTTCTATTTCAGGATTCTCTGTTCTGTTCCACTGGTCTGTTTGTCTGCCCTTGGGCTATTATCACACTGTCTGAATTATATACGGCACTTATAAGTTTCCCAGCCTTTTCTGTCTTCAAGAGTATCTGAACTTTTCTTGGCTGTTTATATTTGCGTGCATTTTAGAATCAACTTGCCAGTTTTCATCTTAAGTAAGATTACACAGAATCTATAGATTAATTAGGGAAAAATTGAAATCTGTACATTTGAGTTATTCACCCCTTGCCCATGCTATAATTTTCCACTTTCAAATGCTGATTGAATTCCATTTTTCCTCTCAGTGTTTCAAAACAATAACACAACAATCCTTGTCCTCCACTACCGCCTCCCATACCGTGGTTCTTCCGTCTTCAGAAACAGAAATTGTCATAGATATTTGACTAGCCAGAACCAAAATGTTGACCAACAAAAAGATGGGCTAGACAGTGAATATTTTTCTATAGAATCTATCTTTTGAAGAGAATGTATTTAGAATAGAGTCATGATTGAATCTGAGTGAGAAAGAACCTTCAAGTTCATCTGCTCCATGTTGTGTCTCTGTGCATTTTATCATGTAACCAGAAATCTTTTTCTGTGACTTTTAAAGTTACCATGTAGGTGTCTGTGCTCAATGAACGGGGTGGTGGCCTGAATGAAAATCCAGAGCATGTATTGTATGTTACATAGCTAGAAGGTTCCCCACAAAGAAATGAGAACTGCATGAGGTGATGGATACACTCACTACCCTGATACACCCATTACATTAAAACATCAAATTGTACCCCACGAGTAGGTACCATTACAATGTGTCAATTTAAATAATTAATTAGGTAAAACCCCTAGATATCCTGTCCAGTACAACTTTTGTTTTTCTTATAAGCTTTTGTGTTTCTTACTCTAGGACTGTCCTTTCATTGTTTGTATGACCTATGCCTTCCATACTCCAGATAAACTCTGCTTCATCCTGGATCTGATGAACGGTAAGCACAACTTGGCAAGTCCAAGCACCGAGAAACACTTTGTTATGATGCAAAAACTTATCATGTGCTAATCTAGGCAGACAGCAATTTGAATCTTTCTGATAATTAGCTCCCCCCTGAAGTTTGAGGAAACCTTTCACCCTTCAATTTTCAGTTAAAATTCATTTTAAAATGTTGACTGCAATTTTCCTCTGGGACTCCCGGTCTCTCCCTGGGAAGTTGGATTTTCTAGAAAGATTCTCATAAAATACAGTGAAACTTGATTTTTCTGGAATGCTGCTGGCCTAGATCTTTAATTAGCTTATTTCCTGGCCCTCAACTTTTAGGAATGAAATACCTCATAAGAATATAAGCCAAAGATAGAAACGTATTTAAAAACCAACTTTGAAAGACTGACTTTGGGCCAAGTACAGATTTTAATGCAGTCTTCTATGGCTTCTAAATCTGCAGCACTGGACGTTTACCTTTTAAACTGTAAATGATAACCTTGAGAATGCCGAAAAACATTCAGCTAGAAAAGAAGCTTTCTAATACTAGAAAGTGTCATGGCATATATTCAAAGTATTTTTGGTGACAAGACCTGAAATAAAAAAGCATACAATTCAACAACTCAAATGCCTGGTTTTTTTGAAGTTTTATTATGTTTTGAGTGTTTGATTTAAAACCAACTCTACCCCAAAATGTGAAGAAATTTCACAGACATAATCACAAGCAAAAAAAGCCAGACACAGCAGCAAATATCTCAGTGTTCCTGTTTATGTGACTGTCAGAACAGGCAAAGCTAATTGATGGGAAGGAAGACAGAAGAGGTACCTTTGCCTGACCGTGGCTAGGGCTGAGGTCTTGGCTGAGAGGGCATTCAGGAGGCTTTTGGGGTACTGGGCATCTTTTACATCTCGAACTGGTAGTGACTATGTATGTGGCAAGGGGGACGATACTTGTAAAAGCAAGGGCAATAAACTTGGACCCACATGAACTTTTATAAATCAGTGGAGGCTTTTCCCTTGTAGTTTATAAAAACATCTCCTTACCCTGTCAGAGGCATTCTCTTCACTGTAGTTTGGGACCATGTGATTGTTCCCCTTGCCAACATTGAATTATGGAAAATTTTAACTATCTAGAACCGTTGAATTTTACTGGGGACATCCAAATACCCATCACCTGGATTTTATCACTTAAAATTTTATTGTATTTGCTTTGTCAGATATCTATCCATATGATCAGTTTTGTTTGTATTTTTCTGAGCCAGTTGCTAAGCTGTCTGTCTGTCGGATCACTCTGTAAGTTGATTCCATTATTAAACAGGATTTAAATCATCAGAGCAGGTTGACTAGTCCCACCTTGTGATGGCGTCACAGGCCGAGTTTCCAGCCTGACAGTGCTGTCTCTGCCTTGTTATGTTGTCCCTCCTATCATTGCACTGAAGTCTTTTCAACATTTGACTTTTCTCCATAATGCTTAAAGTGTTTTATTAAATTATGGAGCTCAACCATAGGCAATTCAGCAGAGCAGAAGCATGATTTACTTTATTCTTCTGTGTCCTGACTATTTAGGATGGCAGTGATTTTTGTTTCCTTTAAGTTAACACACCTTGAATTAAATTCTGAATCTCTGGTTCCAGGGGGTGACTTGCACTACCACCTTTCACAGCATGGGGTCTTCTCTGAGAAGGAGATGCGGTTCTATGCCACTGAAATCATTCTGGGCCTAGAGCACATGCACAATCGGTTTGTTGTGTACAGAGATTTGAAGGTGAGGACAGTTGACAGACTCTTTCTGTATAGTAAGTAGACATTGAGCTAATGGCCCTCTGGAAGTCCCCTTTTCTTTTGCAGAGTCCTGCCATCTTCCTCTTGGCCCTCAGCTCAGCCCTGATGAGGTCACTGTTATGTGATATTGGTCTCCTCTAGATCAAACTTTGAAAGGATGGAACGCACATCATCGTTATAACAACTTCAGTGCCTGGTGTGGCACATACTCTAAGTCAAAAATTCTAGTTGATTAATGGCGCAGTGGCTCACGCCTGTAATCCCAGCACTTTGGGAGGCAAAGGCGAGAGGATTGCCTGAGCCTGTGGGTCCAAGACCAGCCTGGGCAACATGGTGAGACCGCGTCTCTACAATAAACCAAAAAATTAACTGGGTGTGTGGGCATGTGCCTGTAGTTCCAGCTGCTTGGAAGGCTGAGGTAGAAGGATTGCCAGAGCCCAGCAGGTCGAGACTGTGGTGACTGTGAGCAGCATGCCACTGCACTCCAGCCTGGGCGAAAGAGTGAAACTCCCAACTCAAAACAAAACAAAACAAAAACAAACAAACAAATGAGTGAAAATCAGGGTAGAGTTTGTGTGTGTGTGTGTGCGTTTGTGTGTGTGTGCGTGCGCGCGCGCATACGCCCCATCATAATTCAATGAAAGTCCACTAAGCAGTTGGGCTCTGTAGTTCAGCCTGTAATCTCAGCACTTTGGTAGGCCGAGGCAAGTGGATTGCCTGAGTGTGTGTGTGTGTGTGTGTGTGTGTGTGTGTGTGTGTGTGTGTCCCATCATAATTCAATGAAAGTCTACCAAGTAGTTGGGCTCTGTAGTTCAGCCTGTAATCTCAGCACTTTGGGAGGCCGAGGCAAGTGGATTGCCTGAGCCTAAGGGTTCGAGACCCACCTGGGCAACTTGGCAAGAACTTATCTCTACAATAAATCAAGAATTAGCTGGGTGGTAGCGCATAGCTATAGTTCCAGCTATTTGAAAGGCTGAAGCGAAAGGATCTCCGGATCCCAGCAGGTCGAGGCTGCGGTGGCCGGGAGTGTGCCACTACACTCCAGTTTGGGCAACAGAGGGAGACTCCAACTCAAAAAAAAAAAAGAGAGAGAGAAAGTCCACTAAGCAACTGATTTGGCTGTAGCTCACTGTTTACCGGGCATCTACACTGGGGCACCAGGACATAGAATGGCCAAGTAATGCCTCCTCTGGGCATGGCTGATCAGGGAGGGCTGGATTGCAGATCAGCCTGCACAATTTCTCCCAGAGGCTACTCTCATATCTTCATTTGTTTTGAGATCGCCTCAAAAATCATTAAATAGATTTTCAGATCCCTGAACTGTGTAACCTCTGATTGCTGTGCTTGGCTTTCTGTTCTTGTCCTCTGTAAAAGCTCGCTGGCCTTGAAAGTAATGAAGTAGCAGTATGCTGAGTTTATCCTTTCCAGTCCTGGGTTCTTCATGATGAAGGGCGTTAGGGGCTTGCTCAGTCCATTCATGGTGACACTCACCTAGTTGCCATGACCTGTAACAGCCTGAAGGCAGGGATGGACAAAAGGGACCTTGACCAATGATAAAAATGATTATGCAAATATAGAAATGCATCAATGCTAATGAGAAGAAAAATGATAGGCACAACAGTTGGTCAGTAGGCTAAGAAGACTCCAGGAGAATGTGTTCAGATTCCTTCTTGATTGAACCCACAGTGGCCAGCTGAAATACAGTTTCTGTTCCTTTTGCTAAGGAGCTAAGATATTGTCATTAGCTTTTTAAGATTATCTTTTAAAATATTATAAAAATTACATTTCATTTGCAAGCATTTCTTTTTTCACAAAATATTTTGTGAATTTTAAAGCTTTCTGCAAAGTTAAAGAATTATTTCCTAGTTTTCCTACAAGCATAAAGAATAAAAAAATATTTTTGTTGAATTAGAAATAATTAGACATTGGTTGACCCAAGACATTTTATTTCCTTGTGTGAATTTTGCAGAAGAATAAAATTCATGCTGAAGGCCCATGAAGCACTATTGTAATACATTCTAATTTAAATCTATAACCAGTTTCTAATCATCGTTATGCTTTATTTTTGTTTTCTAAGCTACTTAGTAGGTAGTGGTACTATTTAATTTCTGTTCAAACTTAATTCTAGTCTCTCATGATTATTCATGTTTCAATTTTATAATAGCATGTTATCATTTTTATTTTGAGCAAAACAGTAGTTGATGTTCTGCAAAAAAATTATTAAGATGACTATAATTCAATATATATTAGAGAGAGGAGCTTTGTCTTTCATGATGACTAAATCTAATCTTAATGGATACATTTCATCAGAGTTGTGGTCAAAATCATATTTGGGCATTTGGTAGGGCCCAGTGTTGATGATGTATCAATAAACAGAAATGTCATTTATTGGGATTAGTGTGGCACTGTGGAATATTTTGATTTCGTATACATTTATACATTCTCGCCAGCTTCCTTTCTGTTATGTGCTTCTTGGCTTCATTCTTAGAAGTCCTTGTGGTTCACATAGGCCAAGCATGGAGAAGCACACCTGCACTGCAGTTCTTGGAGCAGGGAAAAGGAAATGCTTTTGACTCTGATGAACTGTGGTCTTACTATGGTCATGTTACCTGCCCTGGACTTCATTTTTTAATGAGTAGACTCTTTCGCCTCTGTCATTAACATTTTCCTGCTGAAGTTAACATGAAGAATATCGCTCTCAGTATTGTGCCCTACTTTGATATAATAGTATAAAGCTATAATTCATGTTTGTGAGCAAACTATGATAAAACAATGAGATATCCAATTTTTGTATTTTAGCTCTCAAAGTCCTTTTGGCATCTGGGACTCTTAAGGTCACATTCTTTTTCTGTTTAGCCAGCAAATATCCTCTTGGATGAACACGGACATGTAAGGATATCAGATCTCGGTCTTGCCTGTGATTTTTCCAAAAAGAAGCCACATGCGAGTGTGTAAGTAGTGCATCAACTCTGTTCACTATCATTTATCTAATGCAACTCATTTATTCAGTCAGTTGATGGACTGGCCATTTGTCCAGCGGTGATTTTCCATATGTGAAAAGCTGAAGCGTGGGAAGATCCAATATCCCAGGTCACGGGAGAGGAGATTTGAGTGCTATGCTTTCTGTCACTGTCTGTGGGAAGCATGAATTGACCCACGAAGTAACTGACCTGCTCAAGGGCCAGAGTGGTGTGTCATAAACAGTTGCAGGCTCAGTGGCTCAGCCTGTAATCCAGCACTTTGGGAGGCCGAGGCAAGTGGATTGCCTGAGCCCTGGGGATCGAGACCAGCCCAGGTAACTTGACAAGACCTCATCTCTATAATAAATTTTTTAAAAAAATTAGCCGGGCATAGTAACATGCACCTGTAGTTCCGGCTACTTGGAAGGCTGAAGTGGAAGGATCACTGGAGCCCAGCAGGTCAACGCTGGGGTGGCTGTGAGCGCACCACTGCACTCCAGCCTGGGCAACGGAGTGAGACTCTGACTCAAAAAAAAAAAAAAAAAGACTTGCAACCTCACAAAAAACCTGACTTCAGGCTGCCTGTGTGACCCTAAGCCAGTCAGTCAGTTGACCTCTTTGACCTCAGTCTCTTCATCTGTAAATAGAGATAGTAACAAACCCCTGAAAGTTGTCATAAAGATCAATGAAGGTGCCTTGCTAGGAAGACACAGAGGCAGCTGCACTGAATCTCCAAGGGGGTCCTCAGTCCCAAGTTTCTCTCTCCATCTACTTTTTCTTCTTTTTCAAAAAGGCTTTCTTTTTCTTTTTTTAAATCTGACGAGAAATCAGGATTTTCCCTCTCTCTCTCTCTCTCTCTCTCTCTCTCTCTCTCTCTCTCTCTCTCTCTCTCTTTTAATTAAAGAAATAAGTCATTCATGCGCAGTTCAAGCTTTCAATGCAGGCCATATTGTTAGATTTGGACATTGTACCAGTCCTCTAGGGACCACCAGGTGCCTCCTGTGACACAGCCCTCAGCCAGCACCTGACAGCCCCATGGATGTTGAATGCTCTTTGGGGAGCCATGCTTAATCAAAGCATGTAGACCCCGGCTGAGGACTTCTCTCTGAACCCAGCGCTGTTGAAAAGGCATCAGCACCATAAGATGGCGCTCGCAGGGCTCTGCAGAAACACAGTGGTTTTCACTTCTGTTTCTTTGGTATCAGATGATCTAGGTGGAAAGTATGAACATGTGTGCAGCTTGAGGAAAAATAGACAACTCTGGCTTTATTTGGTCTTTTTAAATGTCTCCTTCTTAGCACTGAATCTTTTAAAATTACATTTCATTGTACATCTTGAGCTAACATTCATCTCTGTGTTGAATGGTCTTGAAGAAACTCCCAGGAGTCTCATTTCATGCATCCGTGCAGAAAATAAACTACAGATCCTTCCTTTGTGTAACCAGAAGTAAAGTGGTTCTGAATTGCAATACTTTATGAGGGACTGCATTAAATCCAAATTGCCTTTTAAAGCTCTGATCAAATGTTAATAGTGACTAGTACCATTTCTGTAAACATTTTTCTCTTTTTCTACAGAATCTGGGATATGGTGATAAAAGCATTAGCATTTTGCTGGCACTTTGCAATTATTAGGCCAAAACCTGTGGTTGTATAAGCTTCTCTCAGGGAGTTTCATCAGACGTTTTTAAGAGAGTCATTTGAATTTTTAATGCCACAGCTATTTGGTATGCTAATTTCCTCAATTTAGTATAGTCATAACTAAATATGAATCAAAGAGTTCTTAGGAGTTAATCTTCCCAGGAATTAACTTTTGGATATGGGGTTATTTATTTCCTAATAGGGCCTAACCTCCTTTTTATCGTAATTCACATGTCAGCTCTGAACAGTGGGCTGTCCTTTTGCCTGCTCTGGAAAGCACAATATTCGAACAGCCTCTGTAAAGGGTCAGGGGTGAGAAGGGTGGTTTCCATGTTTACATGATGTGAGGGAGGTCACTACTTGAAAAAAAAGATACATATTTTAAATAAAGGAGGCATTTTATGGCTAAGAACAAAGGCTGTGGCATCAACAGACCTGGATTTGAATTCCTCTTCCAAGTTGTACAAGCTTCATTTTCCCGTTCTATGAAGAGGAGATGACAATTTGCCCCATGTGATAATTGTGAGGATTAAGTCAACTAATTAATTAGTTCAGCAAATCTTTATTTAACTTTTGCTGTGTGCCGGGTGCTGGTGATGCCATGGTAAGACAGAGCTGATCCCTGACCTAGAGCCATCAGCCCAGAGAACTGTGTCCACTAAATGACCGGTGTGTAGGGTGGTGACTGGTATATGGGGTGGCAGTGTTACTGGCAACATTCACTGTGTTACTAGCACAACATCAGCTGTCTTAGGCATGCATAGCTAACTGCTTTGAATATGTTACCTTCACAGACATCTCATAAATTATAGATATTGCTATCTACTTTTTAAGGATGGAAATTGAATTTCAGAGAAATTAAGTGATTTGAACCAGGTCTCACAGCTGGCACACAGTGGGGCTAGAATGAGAATCCGGTTCTGTCTGATTCCAAAGCCTTTTTTTGCTCTTTACACTACATGGATGAACTCTCTGCAGCTTTGAAATAATCAATCGATTACTCTAAGATTTGGGGGCCAGAATTTCACTTTGAACTTGATTTCCCATGTCTTCTCAAAGCTGTAGAAGTGATTCTTTCATCTAGCAGCCAACCAATCCAAAGTAGTGTTGTGGTCGAAGATCCTGATTTGAGCTTAGTCTTACTTAGTACATTTAGTGGCAGAATCACACATTATTGTAAACTCAAAGTTAAGTGTAGGTTAGCCCTGAAAAAGGGAAACATGCAGAATTGGGCAGATTGTCAGTGACTAATTTGAGTATTGGCTTTTTAAATCTAAGAACACAAGGCTGTGTCTCATGTCACAGCATCTTAAAACTCTCAAGTGTTCGTTCAGTATTAATAGTAGTACAGATCTTCAGCAGAATGCGGCAGGAAGCACTCGTAGCAGCCGTGTAGGCAGAAGCAGAAAACTATAGCAGACAGTCCGTGCTCGGCTCAGTTATGTCCAGCATAAGCTTGGAGAACTGATCTGCATTAACTTATTTTATTTATCTTTGTAGATATCTTTCCATTCCAGAATTGTGCTTAGATCCTGAGAATTACATGTTAAAAGATCTCCACCAGGCGCTTTCCAGGCAACACTAAAACTTTCCCTGAAAAATGGTTCAGATGCCCCTGATGGAAACCCCTGATGGTCTCGCAGCATGGCTGGACAACCTAACACTGTCAGACTTTAAATTCTGGGTGAGACAGCTCTCCAGAGCACACCCTTACCTAGCTGAACCAGTGCCTGTTTTCACTGTTCGATAAAACTCTCAAACAGCACCTCGTAGAGCATACTGGACCCCATGATGATCTGGGCCTGTTCATGACCCGAAGTCATTTATTCTGAGAAGATTCTCACTGTTTCTGAGCCTAAGTTAAAAGTATTACGCTAAGGTGAAGCTGGAGATTAAAACCCCCAGCATGGGTTGAGTTCTTCTTATGTGCCAGCCCGGGACATGTGCAGTCCTCACAGCAGCCCTGAGAGAGAGAGAGGTATTATCTCACGACCTATTCATTTGATTGATGAGGGTGAAATGGGTGTAGAGCATGAAGATAAGGCCACATCTTTGAAACATCCCCATGGCTGCCTGGTGCTCTTCCTCAAGGAGGACAGGGGTGTTGTGGAGTGGGAAGAGCTTTAAGTTGCAGATGGTGTAGATTATATTTGAAATGGTTGGCCTCTCAAGCGATTTCTCTCAACTTCCTGAAAATCGTCTTCACATTTGCTTAGTGCTGAGTCCGCTGACCTTCAGCAGCTTTTCAAACCCGACACATAGTTTCTCCAGATGATGTTCTTGTGGGCTTGTGCTCTCCTTCCTCCCTACCCCATCGGGTCTGTCACCAGTTGTGACCAAGCAGATAGCCCTCACCCTTAGCACGGGCGAGGTCAAGTCCTCAGCAGCACCATATGGGATGGACGTCCCCATGCCTTCAAGGTCCACAGCACTGTGGTGTCATCACCCACTCATCATCTGTTCCCTCCCTCTTCCCCTGCCTCCTGTGACCCCACATACCTCTGCACAAGAGCTCTTGAACGGGCAGGAGAATTTTTGCTCTTCATAGCTGGAGTAAAGAAGGGCTACTGAGATTCAGATTTCACCTCCTAGGCTGTGGAACTCTCGTTCATATTTATTTCACATGGAAATTTATTCATGTTAATTCATATACTGGCAGAAAAGATAGTTTCCCCATTGGATGTTCAATGAATCATGTCTGTGTTGAAGCACAATTGTCCCTTCTCCTTTGTTTACAGCTGCTGCATCTAATGAATGATGCCCGCGCCCTTGGCACGCTCTTAGTGTTTGACAAGGTGGGTGTCTCTAATAACTGCATGTACGCTTTCTTTTCCCTAGTGGCACCCATGGGTACATGGCTCCCGAGGTGCTGCAGAAGGGGACCGCCTATGACAGCAGCGCCGACTGGTTCTCCTTAGGCTGCATGCTTTTCAAACTTCTGAGAGGGTGAGTGAAATCAACCCCATTAGTGCTATTATCGTGGCACGGACCTTGATGAAACTGAGATTATTTAGATATGTCTAAATCCTAATGTTGTTTTAAATCTCACGGTGATCCTAAGCCACATGCGAATCTGGAAGCCTCTTTCTGTGGCATACAAGAGTGAGAGCTGCTTCCCCATAAACTGTCAGATGAACGCTTATGGCTTACTGCTTTTTATTCCATATCATGTAAGAACCAGAATACTTTCAAGCCTAAAGTAAGACTACTTTGAAATATTTCCATTGGTAAGCCACATTCTGGGAATAAGTATTGTTTTAAAACATGGATAATGGAAGAAGGTAGGATAATTTTTCTCCATAGAAATTAATTACTCATTAATTTCTTAAAGTTTAAAGCATGGTGAGGGTTACCCCCAAAAAAGGATGAAGATCCAAAATAAACCTATCTTAAAAGTTTGCATCTATTTAAACATGCTGAAATTAATTTGTGTTTTTAAAGCTAGTATTATGCTTGACCCTTGTTCTAAACCACCAAAAATTATGAACTAGACTGGAAAAGATTGTGAAAGGAAAGCCTTCTCAAAATATAAGTTCATATTGAACATTTAATTATGTCAACGTTTCCATTAGTTTTAAGATTTTTAGCCAACTTTAATGGAGAGCTTAAGTTTTTAAAATATTTTTATTCTTCACTCGTAAAGATAGAAAAGACACTTTACATTAAAATTTCCAACTCAAGACTTTCTTTGTAATGTTCTCTGAACACAGTCCCAGTGGCTTGCTCAACTTTTCACATTTCCATCAGCAAGATGAAAATTAAGCACCACTGCATCTTCTTATTACATTTAGCACATAGAGAGACTGAAGTCCATATTCCCCCCAAACTAGGTTCCGAGCACTCTCTCTATTTTCTTAGGACTCTGATAACCCAGTTGTTCTCTGCTCACTGTATTCACTTGGGATCTAAAATTGTATTATTGCTTAGAAAGTCAGGATCTGTTGTTCCTTAATTGAATTACTGTATTTGTGGAGCCTGAATGGCCTTAATTCATATCATCAGACTAGCTGACCTAATTAGAGAGTTTATTTAAGCAAACCAGAGAAAACCATTTCCCCTGTGAGATGCTGTTTTCCCCAGTGGAGTCACTTGTGTGCAGAGAGAGAGCATGAAGACACCCCACGGGTCTTTATTTTGGATCTCTGCTAGAGATGTGGTTGGAGACAGGCAATTCAAGCTCACAGAATCTGAAATTTATAAGAAAGCTCTGTGCAGCAGCTACCCTGTTGAATGCAGAAATCAACAGTAAACCAGAACAGGGAAAGTTGTAAAGCCTTGCATCATGAGTTTCTTTATTACTCTCGTAACGGTGTCCACATGTCCATGCTTATAGGTGGGGAGGATTTGGTATAACACTGTTTTTAAAAAAGATTGGAAAGTTTTGTTTAATTATTAATTCTGTACGATCCAGCAGTGTGGTTTGTGGCTAACAAAATGAGTTCAGTCTAAATAATTCAAGTTTAGAGTACTGAATTGGATGATACTGATTCCTATGAGAAGTCCTTGATCGGGCTTGATTGGAGCATTATGTTCAGTGTGGCTCCTTTTGAGAAGAGTCTTGACAGACAGGAAGACATCCAGTGACCTTCCAGATAGGAAGACATCCATCCTTCCAGACAGGAAGAATGTCTGAGGAATGGATGAGCAGAGAATGATGAAAGAGCTAGAAATGATAATATACGTAGGAAGATTGAAGAGCTGGGTCCAGATGTTGGGGAAGGCAGCAAGAACCCATCCAGAGGGTGAGCATTATGAGGAGGGAAAAAGATTGCAGTCTGAATCCACGCAGGCATTTGAGCTGCCCAATGAAGGAGTGTTCTACCTCACAAACAGCAAGCTCCCTGTCACTGTCTGTTGACCATTTATTGAACCCTAAATAGAAAGAATCCTCCTAGTGCATGATAGATAGGATTAGATGACTCTTCCCTGCTAAGATTTAAGATTGTATGTTATTCATTGCTTGTACAAAAGTTACCCACTGACAGGTTATAGCACTAAAACCTAAGAGCAGGAAATATCTTTTGACTTAAGTGATTTAAATCTAACTTGATGAGCATTTATTGAGTACTTCTAACATACAAGAGATGGTGCTTGATGCTGTAAGGGAAGGAAGGGAGGGAAGAAAGGAAAGAGGGAAAGGAAAGGAGAAAGGGAGAAGGGAAGAAGGAGACAAGGAGAGAAGAAGGGAGGGAGGGAGGAAGAGAAGGAAGGAGAGGGGAGGGAGGAAGAGAGGGAAGGGGGGAGGGATGGAAGAAGAAAAGGAGAGAAGGGATGGAGGGAGAGAGGAAGGAAGGGAGGGAGGGAAGGAAGAAGACAAAAAGGAAGGAAGAAAGAAGGGAGGGAGGGAGACAGAGGGAGGAAGGAGGAAAGGCAGCTTAAGGGATACACAGTTCAGGAGAAGAGCCAGAAATGTACAGACAGGATCACAAGCCAACTGCAGCCATGTTGTACCCGTGGGGCACAGACGCCAGGAGAGCCACTTGTAACCTGGAAGAGCAGGTTCGACTACACTTGGGAGATGGTATGCGGAGGAGGCTTTGAAAGACAGATACGATGGCAGTACAAAGACCTGTGCAGGGAATAAACATAGTCTCTGCTTCTTTTATTTTAATTTATTTTTTTATTTTAAGGATGTGGGGTACAATTCAGGATTAGATGTAAAACAATCATTGTACAGGTAAAGTTTGGGCCTCACTTTGATCCCCACTTTGCCTGGTTAAAGATTGGATACCCTTATTTGTTTAATTTTTTTTTTAAGTCAAATACCGGCCAGGCTCGATGACTCAGCCTGTCATCCCAGCACTTTGGGAGGCCAAGGCAAGTGGATTACCTGAGCCTGCAGGTTCAAGACCAGCCCGGGCACCTTGGCGAGACCTCAACTCTACAATAGATAAAAAATTAGTCTGGCACCCTGGTGCGTGCCTATAGTTCTGGCTACTTGGAAGGCTGAGGCAGAAGGATCACCAGAGCCCAGCAGGTCGATGCTGGGGTGGCAGTGAGCGTGCCACTGCACTCTAGCCTGGGCAACGGAGTGAGACTCTGACTCAAACAAGCAAACAAACAAACAAACAAAAAAACAAATAGAAAGTCAAATACCACATGTTCTCACTTACAAGTGGGGGCTAAACAATCCACTTACAAGTGGGGGCTAAACACATGGACATAGACAGGAATAATGAACACTGGAGACTCCAAAAGGTGAAAGAAAAGTGAGGGATGAGAAATTACCTTTTGGGTACTAGGTACACTGTTCAGGTGAAGGTTACACTAAAAGCCCAGACTTCACCACTATGCAACATATCCTTACAGCAAAAATGCACCTATACCCCCTAAACCTATAAAAATTTAAAAAAAGAACACCACCGAGAGGTAGTGAGTGAGGTATGATGACCACTTAGGCTTAGTAAACAGCTCAAGAAGGTGGGAAGCACAAGGGCTCTCTGAAGGGTCTTCTTGCTCCCCCAAGTCAATTTCCTTCAGTCCCAGCATGGCTTCCCTACCTGCTCTCCTCACTGGGTCCGGCATAATCCCGAATGTCTTGTGGCAGGCTGGGCAAACCACTGTCCGATTTTCCAGCTCAGCAGGGCACAGCAACCCACCGCTTTGACCAAACAAAGGTCCCTCTCCTCAATCTCAGCCCGGCACTGTCCTACCTTCCTCACCATCAGGCGCCCCTCGTCCTTCTCCAGCTTGGCGTGACACCGCTTCTGCTCACCACCCTCCTCTTTCCCTCAAAGCCCCCTCATTCCCTCAATGCCATGTTTGGCAACGCATCCAACTCCCACTCCTCTGGACGAGCCCAGCTCTCTAGGGCCTCTGAACCTGAGGCCTTTTCATGAGTGTCACCTGTGGTTCTCCTCTTACCCCACTGGCCTGGCCCACACTGCCCATTCCTCTGCCCCACAGCCACACCACAGCGACACCCCCCTCCATTCCCTCAGTCTAGCAATACTGTTTCCCTTATCTCCTCCCCAGTGCTCCCTCTTCCCCCAGGCCCCCAGCAAAGGCTGACCCTGGACCCTGTGCCTGCAGGCACCTGTTCCTCACCTGGTGATCACAGCCTAATGAGGTACGCCAGCAACAGGCAAAAGGTGTTCAGGTTCTGTGGGGCCTTGGTTGCTCTGTCCCAGACCCCGTCCCTCGCACCCCTCACAGCCTCCTCTGCTGCCGCCACCTCAGCTCACCAGCCCACCCAGCCCTGCGAGACCCCCTCATGCCGGGGGAGAGGTGGTGTCTCCTGCTTGGTCCACAGAGACAGCTAGCTTGTCCCCTCCTCTGCCACTCCACTTCCCCGATCGGGTACCCTTGTGGATGAAGTGTGCCTCCTCCCTCTCCTGGCAGTTGCCCTCTACCGCCAATCCCTTTTTTATAGTATTATGGTAATTATTTCAGGGTCCACTTATGAGTGAGAACATGTGGTACTCAGTTCTTAGTTTCTGTAATAGATCACTGAGGATAATAGACTCTAAATCCATCCAAGTCACGGTGAAGTTCATAGTTTTGCCCTTCTTTATGGCTGAGTAATATTCCATCATGTATATGTATCACTTTTTTTTATCCAGTTCAGTTTTGACGGGCAGCATGGTTGGTTCCATGTTTTTGCTGTTGTGAATAGTGCTGCGATAAACACATGTGCACTGGTGTCTTTCTTACAGTGTTCTCAAGCAGGGAGGGGTATGAAGGAGAAGGAGGAGAAGGTTGGGTCAGCACTGTGGATGGCCTCGGCTTCCACGAGTGAGTGAGATGATTCTGGCAGCAGCTTGGGGCATTGGCACAACAGACTGGAGGCAGGCATGAGAACCTGGGCACAAGGCTGTGAGCTCAAACTAGCCCAAGGTCCCAGAGCTGGGCAGGAGTTCAGGATGCCAGTAGTGTAGAATTCGAGTTCATCATCCTTTGGTGTTTTTGTAGTGTGCTTGTTGGGGCGGGTGTTTTTGTTTCAAATGGATGCTTAAGTATGGGAAGATAGGCGTTAAAGATAGTACCAGTTAATCTTCAAAATAATTGGGAGAATGGGAGGATCATTACCAAAACCAGTAGTTGCCCATCAGCAGTTTACATTAAACTGAGGTTTATAGAGGGCTTTCGGGAGCAAAACCCTGTGGTGGGATGGGCAGAGGGTGGGGCTGCCCACAGGAGCCTTCACTCCCTTGGCTGTAATCCAGGGGATAATTCCACCTGTTCTGCATTCTCACAAAGCTGCCTGTGGGAAAAACTAAAAAATACACCTGTCAGCATCCTGTGCATTTTTCATTCGTCATATAGAAGGGAGTCCCTGGCAGCTGTCTTTTCTCAGGCACAAGGGACCTGAGAAGCTCAAAGCAGCAGGACAGCAGGTCAAGTGGGCAGAGCAGCGACCGGCAGGGCCTCCTGGGTACAGGTGCTGGGGACAGCCTGTCCTCTCTGTGTCCTGGCACTCTCCTGGGGCACCCATCATCAACCTCAGGGGACACTGGGCAATGGCTAGAGGCTTTTTTGGTTGCCATATCTTGGGGAGGGGCTGGCACTGACAGGTCAAAGATGCTGCTCAACATCCAGCAATGCACAGGACAGCCCCCGGTGCACTGGCCAAGAGTGGTCCGGAGCAGACGCCAACAGTGCTGAGCTGAGGAGCACTGCTGTAGAGTGAGTCTCCTCTCCCTCCTCCCACATCTGTGCAGTGAGGTTGAACCAGGTGCACCCAGGGTCTTTCTTCTTTTATTCTGTGAGGCAACACTCCTTGCGCTGACCAGTGTGTCCTATTGCTTCTGCTGGAACACTTTTCCATGCCCCTCATCTTGTCTCGACACCCCATAAGAATACCACAAGGCACTTGGAGAAGCAACCTGGTGGAAGAAAGCTGTCAAGGCTTGAGGAGGGATTTTGCACTCCCCAAGTGATGAACTGAGCCATTCGTATGCCATGTTTTTGGGTACTGATCTCTGCTTCCGTTTCAGATGACTATATCAGATATTGAAGAACATCTATGTGTGAAGTTGTGTCCATGTTGCAAATCTGTGGAATTGCTGGCATGATCCTCAGTCTAGATTTAAGAGGTCCACTAAGGAAAATAATGGATGTGACAGTGGCTTCAATCTTAAGCTTGTCACCATTGATTGTCTTTCGTGGAGGTGTCTGAGATAGGGAGTAGCCAGGGTGGTGGCCCCAGGAGAGCCGAGAGCTGCCTGGGTTATTGAATTTGCTCCATGTAGGGCCACAAGGAAAGTTTATATTTTGGCAACTGTTGGCTTAGGTTCAAAACGCATATTTAATGTAACATGAATCTTTTTGGAATTCTAAAATTAGCTTTTGATGTGAGAGTTTTTGACCACTTGTAATTATGAATGTATTGTTTTTTTGAACTCATTGTTTCCCTGTGACTGTGACCCAACTAACTTGGAGTGTGTGTGTGTGTGTGTGTGTGTGTGTGTGTGTGTGTGTGTGTGTGTGTGTGTTCCCATCATGTGTCCTCGGAACGGCTTCCCAGCTCATGTGGGGGAATTGTGCAGCTGTCCCACTCTGTCTGAAGTTCAGAAAGCTACACTTGGCTGCTGCACATGTGCATTCTCTTCCCACAGCATTCCCCAATGCAGCCATAATGTTGCATGTGGGGTGGGGAGAGCTTGGCCCTGCTGTGGGAGCTGTTGACAGGCCTGTTACTGTCTCCTATTTAAAGCGGCTGCGTCAGGGCACAGCTGCGATCACGCAGGATCTGTGAGTACCACGTGCCTCACTCAGAACGGAGATTATTACTATCGTAGGTTTTCTTTAACATTTTCCAAAATAGAAACCAAGTCTTTGGCTTTGTTCACAAAGAATAATCAAGATACATTGGAAGCAGATGTGCATCAAGATTTTAACTTGAAAGAGCAAACTGTCTCAACACTATGTCGTAGACTTGAATAGCTGAAGAGCATTTTCTGATAATTTCTTATTGAGCTGGACATGGAATAGCTATATTTATAGATGGAATTTGTAGCAATGGGGCCCATGTGCTGGAAATGTTTTTGGCACCACTAACTTTAACTCCAGTCTCCTCTCAAGCCTCCCTGTGGCCTCATGAAAGACTTTTTAAATTTAGCACAGAGTGTTTGTGTCAGAACACAGCAGGCCTCTCTGCAAGGTCAGAGCACAGCCCTTTCCTTCCTGCATCAGATGCAGGGGCATGGGGGTCAACGGTGGGAGTGAGGTTCTCTGACTCCGCACACAGGAGCCAAGGCCAAAGGGTTTGCCAAAACACAAGGAGAGCTTTGCTTAATCCCTTCTTACACGTTAAGGAACATTGTAGGATGGACAGGGCTAAGTGTCAAGCAGAGAGGCAATAATTTTGGTAAGATTTACTATACTTTTATTCCCTTTTTCTGGAACTGTGAGCATATTAATATTTCTGTGGATTTTGTATAAAAGTGAATGATAAAAATATAATATTTTAAAAATTTTAAGGTATTTTAAATGCCTTATACATAACAGCCTGTTCTTATATCCTATTTGCTTTTTAAATATAGTAATTGTACTTTTTTCTCCTTGGAAACAAGGCAGAAAGAATATTTCCAATCAAAATCTGTTTTAAAGATTGACTCTGGCTCGGCTCAGTGGCTCAGCCTGTAATCCCAGTACTTTGGAAGGCCAAAGAGAGTGGATTGCCTGAACCTGCGGGTTTGAGACCCACCCGGGCAACTTGACGAGATTTCGTCTCTACAATAAATAAAAAATTAGCCGGACGTGGTAGTATGCCCCTGTAGTTCTGGCTACTTGGAAGGCTGAGGCTGAGGTGGAAGGATCGCCAGAGCCCAGCAGGTCGAGGCTGCGGTGGCCAGGAGCTTGCCACTGCACTCCAGTCTGGGTGATAGACAGAGTGAGACTCCAACTCAAAAAAAAAAAAAAAAAAAGATTGGCTCATGCTTGCTTGGTACTACTTCACCTTGTTTTATATCATCATCCCCCCCCCTTAATGCTTTCAATGCTTTCAAGAGATGGCAGTTACTTTGTATTTCACTGCATAGTAAGAAAGAAAATAGAGCATCAGAGTGCCCTCTCTTGTACAAAATGAAAATTTAAATACTTAAGGCAAATGCCCTGAAATGTAATAATATCTTGAAGGGATGGTGTTGTGCATAGCTTAAGTAATTCCGTAGGATGGCCAGCTCAGTAGCAGTAAGTAGCAGTGCCAGGAGAACTGGAATTTTAATTCTTTTTAAGAATCTCTATCAATTTATATGTTCAACATTTTAATCCATTGTATGAAGTTAGCATTAAAATATTTTACATAATATCTTGCTTCAGTTTATGTCATATGTGTCTTGTAAATAAATATATATGATTAGTTACTTTACAGGCATGTCTTGCTGTAAGAAAACCAAATCATATATATTTCTTTTTTTTTAAGTTTTCAAATTAACAAATAATTCCATGGTATTTGAATTTGCATATTTAATAGTGCCTTTTGATGATACGATTTCCTTTAAATGCCAGCTTCTCCAGAGTTTTAAGGACATGGTAATGAGTAAGAATAATCTGTGCTATAGAGTTCACCAAGTAGACATTTGTTTCATAAAGTGAGAATCATCTTTACTTATTTCACAGATGATTACTATATTAGGTACCTACTGTATACAGCCATTGTCTTGGTTACTCTTATGGACATCATTTTATTTTTTCCCTTTACTGCTACCATGAAGTATGTGGCTTGATCCTCATTTTACAGATGAACTGGCTCACAGCCAGGTAACAGCCAAGTCACAAGTTGAACCCAGCTTTTCTGACTCTGAAGTCTGGGGCTCTGACAGGGAAAGTGTGAGTAAGCGCTCAACTGTGGAGGATCTGCTGGTGAATGATTGGTATCTCTGTTTTCATCAAAGGGATTTATAGTTGAAACTTACTAGTTCCTAGCGGTGAATCATGTTTATCATGATCATGTTTTGGTTTGCTTTTCCTTGGGCTGTTTGAGGGACCGATATCCATTTTGTTGAATAAATTGTGTAGAAGTTATTGGCTCAAACCCTCATTGACAAATGTTATGTAAATGACTTTCATTTTCATGACTACCCACTGGATAAGTATATATTTTTTTCTCACGGTATTTCAAGTGGAGAAGCATACTTTAGTGTCATGATTTCATTGACATGGGGACCAGGCAGTTCAAGTAAGATGTAATGTTTATTCTTTCAGGACCTGTCGTATTCGTTCATCGGTTTGTCTCTGGAAATGATAAATGTTTGTGGCTTTCACATTTCTTTAGTTTTGAATCAACCGTGACAGGACATAATACTAATACTGTACCCAAGTATTAGTCAGTGGTATGTACTGAGTTACCTGATGCCATATTGTAATAGAACATTCTTTGTTTCTACAGTCACAGTCCTTTCAGACAACATAAAACCAAAGATAAGCATGAGATAGACCGAATGACCCTCACTGTGGTAAGAGGATTAAAAAATGTGTCCTTATTTGCATCATAATTTTCATGTTTCATGCCATCAGCAATAAAATTACTACCAGAAGACATAAAACATTGTATATAATATATAAATATAAAAATGTCAAAAAATTTGCTTTCATAAAATGAATTAATAAAGATTCAATTCCTAGAAGAATTTCTAAAGGAAATTTTATGAAAATAGATACCAAGGCAAAAATAAGATTTGCTAATAAACATTATAAGAAAGATATGGAAAACTGAAATCAAAGAAACTAAAGAAATCAAAGAAAAGAGAAATTACCAAGATACAGAAGGATGAGGAAGCCTTTTGGTTCTGCTCTGGCCCCAACCTGTTGATTGACTTTTGCAGCCTATTAGTGACCTTTTTATGTTTCTTTCGAGTAAATGTTAATTCATAATGAATCTACAATTTCAAGAAGCAGCCTTACAATCTAGTTGTTTGTCAGGGCACTGTTTCCATAAATGGGTTTTGAGCTCTTACTCTTCCTTTCCCCAGAATGTGGAACTTCCAGATACCTTCTCTCCTGAACTAAAGTCCCTCTTGGAAGGCCTGCTCCAGCGAGATGTCAGTAAGCGGCTGGGCTGTCATGGAGGCGGGTAGGCTGTGGTTTCTGCCTTTGAGTATCTTTACCAGAAAAGTGAAACAGTTATTTTTAATATTCAAAAATAATTAATATTTTAATTATCTTAAATAATATTTTAAAGACGGTTTATCAACAGTCCTTAGAATCTTTTGTTTTGACTTGAGGGGAGAATATCACATGAGAGATATATGTATGTTGTCCTGTGTCTTTTATAATCAAGAAATTGAAGATGTCACTAACTTTTTTGTTTTTGTTTTTGAGTTGGAGTCTCACTCTGTCGCCCAGACTGAAGTGCAGTGGCCGCTCCCGGCCACTGCAGCCTCGACCTGCTGGGCCGGCGATCCTTCCGCCTCAGCCTTCCAAGTAGCCGGAATTACAGGCATACACTACCACGCCTGGCTGATTTTTTGATTTATTGTAGAGATGAGGTCTCGCTGCCCAGGCGGGTCTCGAACCTGCGGGCTCAGGCAATCTAGTCACTAACTTTTTAATTTTAAATTCGACCTTGTAGTTGATAGAAATGAATTCTGATGTTGTGTCATCCATTTGGTTAAGTTGTATTAATGATTATAGTTGTTATTATGGCAGTGTCGTATTCTGATCAGGTTCTCACCTATTTTCTCTCATATGTAGCTGAGTAACTGTCATCCTGTGCCGGCCCCCAAATGGTAATATCTGGAGAGTCTTTAGAGAAGGGCTTGCAACAGACTGTTCCCCTACTTCTCTCCACCCTTGTTTCACACAAGACACAACTTTTAACTAAATGCTACTTGTTTGTATGTCACACAAATATGTATTTTTAGAGCACATATGTATGTGTGCATACTATACCTGTATATCATGTGTCTTATGTAGGTAGATAGCTTTATCCATTTGAGAAATCATCCGTTACTGCTACAATAGATGACAATTTGGCTCATTACTGTCCCTAGAGCCCTCCTCCATGGAATAAGTCAAAACATCAAGTTCCTCTTTTGCTTACCCTTGTAGTTTTAAATTCATACTTAACCCAGTTGTGTTTTTTTCACCAACTATATACAGTATCTCTTAAGTCCCTGTTTTATGCAGTGAGGATTTTGACGTTCCTTTCTTTCCTTGTCTTCTTCTTTCTCACTAATTTTTGTCATGCTCATTTTTATATTCTCAAGCTGATACTGTTTATTCTCAGTTCTCCAATCACAGTCAATCATAATCAAGCTTTGTTTCCTGTATATGGGATATAGGTTGTTTTTAAAAGTTGCAAATGAAGAAGCAGTATTTACATTATCATGCATCACGAATGTTGTTCATTGCATAGTTTCTACTCAGCCTTAAGTTTTTTAATGTAATATATGATATATATGTAATATTTGTGTGTGTGTGTGTGTGTGTGTGTGTCTCAAAAGATGGAAGTCATAGTTGTGGACTTTGGTTTTTCCCTCATTTTTCTTTTGTGGAGGACTGAGCCTGCAGTTTAGAGCTAGGGGGCTCTCTCTGTTTTCTCTGATCAGTGTTGTCCCATCCAACACATCTGTTTTGACTCCCCTGGTCTGACTCTGCCATTCACTCCATGCCTGCCTTCTGCTTTTCTGGGTGTCTGGCCCTTTAACTAGAGCCTATTCTCAGCTTCTTAGAGAGGGCTGTGAGGGGTCAACATTCTGAATTCTTACACATCTGAGTTGTCTTCCTACTATTCTCAAACTTGACTAATATTTAGGCTAGATATAAAATTCTAAATCAATAGTAATTTCCCCCCAGAACTTTGAAGATACTGCTTTATTGCGTGCAAGCGAGCAGTCAGTGCTGGTCAGCTCAGTTGCCACTCATGATGTCAGCCCTTTGGAATCTCTTGTGCTCCAAGACTTGTGTTCTTCAGAGCATGCTTATTTTACTTATGTGATGTTTCCTTTCCTCTGTTTCTCATAGAGCTCCCATCAGGTAAATGTTGGGATTTCTAGATGGATCCTCTGTGTTTCTGGTCTTGTATATTATCTATATCTTTGCTTTGATTCTTTGTCTTATTTTCTGAGAGTTTAAATTTTCAACCCTTTTGTTGATTTAAAAAAATTCTTCAGCAGGTTTAATTTCTTAAAAGAAGAACCTTTAGGGGCTATCCCTCATTAGAATAAGTACCTCACTATGGGTGTTTGAGGGTTAGGTGTGGGGAAAGGAAGTATGGTGTGCACGTGTGGTCACGAGTGAGGGTCAAGGCCAAAGGCTCCATGCATAGAGCTCCATCCTATGTGTTGCCCCCCAACCACACACACTGGAATGAGACTGGAACACAACACGCTGACTCTGTCCCGGGGCAGTAGGTCTTTCCCCCTCTGCCATCAGTCACTGCCCCTCTGCCCATTCCCCAACTTATCTGCCGATGAACCTCTCTCACTCTCTTTGTGGTGGCTTTGTATCTCTGTGTTCTGCTCCTGTCATTTCAATGATTACTGGGAAGGAACAAAGTTGCGTGCTTGTGCTCAATCACTGGCTTGAACCAGAGCCTTCTCCCTGAAGTTTTTTGTTTTTTTTTTGAGTTGGAGTCTCACTCTGTTGCCCAGACTAGAGTGCAGTGGCCACTCCTGGCCACCGCAACCTCGACCTGCTGGGCTTCAGCGATCCTTCCACCTCAGCCTTCCAGGTAGCTGGAAATACAGGCGCACACTACCATGCCCAGCTAATTTTTTGATTTATTGTAGAGATGAGGTCTCGCCAAGTTGCCCAGGTGCGTCTTGAACCCGCTGGCTCAGGCAATCCACTCACCTCAGCCTCCCAAGGTGCGGGATTACAGGCTGAGCCACCGAGCCCGGCTCCCTGAGGTATTTTTAATTGCTTGGATAGAAGGAAACTTCTTGTTTAGCATACCACATTTCATGTGTAAACAATGATGGGCACAAAACGGAGCAGAATAAGAAAGTCACCTGAGTGACCCCTCACAGCCCTCTCTAAGGAGCTGAGAATAGGCTCTAGTTAAAGGGCCAGACACCCAGAAAAGCATTCTGGTGAAAATGCAAAGGGACCCGCTTCGACTCGAATTCCATTCCTTCATTCCATGGCTATTTATTGGGCACACACTGACACCCCCCTGGGTCAGGGCTGAGGCAGTACACAAGACAGGCACGGCCCTGCCCCTTTAGAGCTCATGCTGTAAGGGGATGCAGTGTAGAAACAGTTAAAATGGTTGCCGACATGAGGAGTACCAGGAGCTGAAGAGGGCTGGAGAGGAACATTCCAAGCGGAGGGGTCAGCAAAGGAGGGCTTCCAGGCACAACCAAGCCTGTAGTGATCCAGAAAAGCCAGGTCTCTCAGTGCTGGGCTTGGTTCTGACTCTCAGGGGAAGCCTTTGGAGAGCTCTGAGCAGGGCAGTGGTGAGTGCATCCAAGGTAGCTTAGTGCATAGAGTGGGATGGGGCTGCAGGTGCGGGTGTGTGGGATTGGAGGCTGGAGGAAGCCTCTGAGCAGCCCAGGTGAGAGATGCTGGTGGCTTGGGTGCCTCCATGCTTCTCATGGGTCATTTGGCATCTCCTCTCTGCCCACAAACACAGGAGCACCTTGAGTAGAAACACTGCCCCTCGCTGAGAGCCACTGTATGGATGGCAGGTGCCAGGAAGCAGTTGGATCTGAGACTGAGTGAGGGCAACTGTGGAGTATGTGGGAAGAGAAGCATCGGGGACCATCCTGGCAGGGTCTGGGTGCCAGCAGCCCTAGAGAAAGTGGGGTGATGACTAGGTACTTGAACAGGGGCCTTTGGAAGCACAGGGCAGTGGTTGGTGCTCATGATACAGATCTGGGAGTTACATAAAGGGACATAAAGGCACTTAACAGCCTGGGCAGGATGAGATGCCCCACAGAGTGACTAGAGAGGATGGGCCCCTAGATCCAGGTTGGGCCCTGCGACACTCCGGTGGCTTCATATCTCCATGTTCCGCTCCGTGGGCTGGTAGCACACTGTCCCCAACACAGGCTTTACCTGAAAGTGTGCAATCTCTGTGTATACTGAATTTTAATCATGACCTTCAAGAAACTTTTTTCTTCACCTTTTAAAGGGGTTTGGTATTCACTCTATTATTAGGCTCTAATTTCCTTCTAAGTAGATCCTCAGTGCTTCATGTCCTTTTCCTGTCATGTTATCTGACTTGTAGACATTTGCCATAAATTTCTTTAATGTATAGATCTTCAATTTAATTCTTATTTCAACTATGTTCTCCTGACTCTAGAATTATTGTGTGCATACATGTGTATATATCTGTGGAAACGTCTGGGTTATCTGAAATTGGAAAGGACATCCCAAATAAAAGATCCTGTTTTGCATCATGCAATATTTCTAAACACCACAGCCTGCCCTTTGTTGCTTGGAAAGAAGTGTATTTCTTAAAGAACTAGAAATGTCGTTTCTCTGTACTCTTAACAGGAGACGTTTTTTACAAAATATGTCTTATGTTTCCAGATACATATGTGCCACTGTTATGACTCTTTCTTTCTCCTGCAGTGCACAGGAAGTAAAAGAGCACAGCTTTTTCAAAGGTATTGACTGGCAGCATGTCTACTTGCAAAAGGTACTCCCTCCCTCTGGACTCTACTTTGGGCATCGTCACCCCGTACTCATCTGTGTCTTGGGCTCTGTCTTTGTTTCTCCACGTACTGCTGGCTTCCTGGTTCTGTCCCCCCAAGTGTCCCCCAACAGCCTCTGATGTCCCGAGTGTTACCATGTGGCCCCTCCTTTTGGGGCAGCTTCTTGCTCTTCATTTCCCTACTATAACAAAATCTTGACAATATCTTCTATATAAGTTAATAAAAGGTAAAATGGAGCGTTATGTACCTAATTCAAATATAGGTATAATTGAGACTTTATTTTAATCTCATCTTTTAAATTCTTATATCAATATGTGGCCAAATTTTTATATAGGTATATATAAAATATACAAGAAACTTCTGTCGTAAATGTATGAATATTTTCTAGCCTCACACTACATAAAAATTAGCATGGTTTTATATCAGCATAATTGGTTTTCCATATTTCAAGCTTTATTATATTTGCATCAATACAGGAAACACTCCAAATTAAAAATTCTTTTAAATATTGATTCTCAGTTTTGGACTTGCTTTTGCATGAACTAAAGCTGCAGAGGAATGATGGTTTTCTATAGTAAAAAGAGATGACTCTATAGTCCTGCCTAATTAGAGTTAGAGTTCCACCTCTTGTTCACCTCTTGGGATGTTCGCAGGTGAGGAGGACTGTGTCCCAGCCACTGCGCGTTACGGCTCTAGCAGCTTGAGGGTGCTGCATCGTTGGCTCAGACGTGCCCTCTTAAGTCAAATTGAGGGGATTTGTAGTCTTAAGACTTTGTTTTATTTAAAAATATTAACCTTTAGGCATGAATCCTTTTTTAAAAAAAAATTTGCCTAAAATTTAAAGTCTTCCTCTGGGGCTGTTTAGTGCAAAGGCTCTTCTGTGAAATAAGTAATGTGATTTGTATATGCCGGAATAAAATGCTGTGTAGAGTGTAGCATATTGATGTCTCTCACTATGTCCTTTGTATAGAATGTTAGGTTGGAATGGGGCCATCAGGGTCATCTGACAACTGTGTTATACTTTGGATCTTCCAGTACCCACCACCCTTGATCCCTCCCCGGGGAGAAGTCAATGCTGCTGACGCTTTTGACATTGGTTCATTTGATGAAGAGGATACCAAAGGCATTAAGGTATGCATGTGGTTTTTTTTTTATTTTATTTTACTTCATTTTCCCCCTTTTATTCTTTATTTCAATACCTTTAGGGGGTACAAATAGTTTTTGGTTACATGGTTGCTTTGAATAGTGGCAAAGATGTCTGGGTTTTAAATGTACCCACCACCCCCGCCTGTGCACATTGTACCCGATAGGTGATTTTGTTTCTTACTTTTATTCTCTCTCTCTCTTTTTTTTTTTTTGGAATGAGGGTAATTTCTGTTGGAAGTCAGTTATGCTTAGCGATTATTTTAGTATTGGGCTTTTTGTGGAATGCAACTTACAAATGAATACCTACATATTTGAAGAATGTGTATGTTAAGGACCTAAATTAGTTAAGAGCCATGAAAGCTTTCTTTAGACCAATAATGTTATTTTTGATGAACTGCAAGTGGTAACATCTTTATTGATTTACCATATCTGTGACTGAAATAAAACTTGAATTGTGTACGAAGCAGGAAACGACAACTGCGTAATGTCAGACATACTTCTACTAGTGCAAAGGAACCAGCGTCTTAATTCTTAAGTTTTTAGAGCTCCCTGTGTTAAGACAAAAACAGCAAACAGCATGAATTTTTGCATTTGTCAATCAAAGGTGAAATAATCACTGTTTTTAAAAAATATATATAATCTTCAGCATCTTTCAAACTTTCGTTCATATTATTATTTCTTCAAGTAGAGACAAGACGTAATTAGAGATGGTGAGTCATGAGAGAAAATCATCCTCTTTAAGATGCCAAGTCAAAGTATATCACTACACATCAAGCCCTCATGTATCCCCACACTGACAGCTCGTCCTAGGCTCTTTCTGTTTCCCCCCAGGCCCTCCCTGTCTCTGCTCAGCTGCCTGCATATATACCCTTCTGATGCAAGTCCCCCTCATTTTCCCCAAGTAGCTTCCCCCTCCAGCAGGCCGCAGCACTGTCAAAGCACACACCTGTCAGGTGTAGATAAAAGAGTGCCAAGTAAGATGCAAGGGCCTAGCAGGAGCCCTAACTGGAGACACACAGGACTGGACCAGCAAGGCTGTGGGACAGAAATGACAGGTAGATAGCTGGAGGAGGATGGCCAGGAGCCGGGAAGGGGGGCAGCTATCAAGAGCAGTGTGTGTAGGCCAAGTGCCTCGAGGAGCTGGGGACCCAAGCTGCAGCTGGTCAGAGCTGCGGTGCCTGGAGAACAGGGGCCGAGTCGCAGTGGGGACTGAAGTGTTTGCAGGAGCAGCTTCTCAGGAGGTTGAGGTTAGGCGAAGGCGGAGGGCCCACCCAGGCCATGGGGCTATGAGCATTGCTGACCAGCTCAGAGCACCCTTCTGTGGCCTGGAACAGTGGCTATCCTGGGGTCAGCAGCAGCACTCCAGGCACTGTCTATAGCCTGAACCATCAGTACCTGTCAGGTGTATGGGGACCACTATACAGCCATGCTTTGGGGAGCAATCCACTTACAAAGCTACTTGAAAGGGTTACTGCTGTTGCAATAGACTCTTGTCATCAGCTGTACTACTGTCAATCAAAGCGCACTAAAAATAAAACTGCTATGATGTGGGATCCCAAAGAAGTTTGTGATGTGAAAAAGAGTCTCATACTTTAAAATTTTGTAAACCAAGATCTAGGCTTTGGAGTCAAACAGACTAGGCTCAGATCTGCCACTTATCAGCTGAGTGAGTTTAGGCTATTCCAAAACTTCTTGAATCTTGGTTTTCTCACCTGTAAAGGGGGTGGTTTCATTGCCACACCTTCTCTGGGGATACATGGGATGACCTGTTTATAAGCCTATTGGTATCTAGTCAATGCTTACCAAACTGGTAGCTTGTACTGTTATGGTTTTGGTTCTTTCCAAGAAAGAGGTGGGAGTGAGCACTCTTAGAACAAGAAGTCGTGTCAGCCAAGCAAGGAGCCCGGGACCCGGCCCCATGATGGCCGAGTCCAGCAGGGGAAACAGTATTTTAAGAAACCATTTATTATTTGTCTTTAAAAAGCAGCCCAAATAATATGTTGTTCTTTTTAAAAAGGTGGGGGGAGGCTCACATCATGTAAACATAAATTCTCTCTTATTTTCTTAAATTCATTTTCAGCAACATAGGCTGAGTCATAATTCAGGGCTTTCTGAAATTATGGGAGGTAGAACAGTTTGTGGAGCAGAGCTGGCTGTTTCAGAACAACTACCTGGGAAAGGAGGGTGTTTTGACTTTTGTCAGACTCTTCAGAATCTGTCCCTGTGTGCCTGATCACGGGGTGGTCATCATCAGGCCTTGGGGTCTTTCACACCCCGTCACATGCAGTCACACACACACACACACACACACACACACACACACACACACACACACACACACACACACACACACCCCTTGCCTGTTATGGTATCTGTCCCTACTTATCTCTCAAGCAAAGGTATGAGCAAACACTTAGACTCTCGAGAGGCTTGTGCTTCTGACAAGACAAACATGTATCTATCAGAAGGATTGCCAGCATTTCTGCTGCAAAACTGCACCTCAGATGCATAAAACCATCTTCTTTGCTCATTTTCAAAGTTCAGCCTCACCTAGAAGGCAGAATGAAGAATTTTAAGTAATTATTTGGAAGAAAAATGCTATCATTACTGTAATTTTTATTACAGCAACTCTTAAAGGTTGCATTGCCTAAACTGCCTGTGTGTCTTGAACTTTCTCATACATATGATTATACTGTTAAATTTAAATAGTTGGAAAGTTCATGGAATTAGCAGTAAATTTAGCCTTGCTTACCTTTTATTTTTCTGCATTTTCAGATTTTTTGAGGGGAGGTTAGAAAGTCCTCTTGGCTCCTTCCTTAGAGTTGTTTCTAAAACTATAGAAACAATTTTACTCTGTTGTCAGTGTCTTTTAGTACTTCAAGTGAAATCCTGTATATGTTAGTTTTCATTGGAAAAATGTCATGAAGACAGTCTAGAAGATTGGATTGAGTTTAATTTATCTGGGACTGAAAGTGGAGTACTGATTAATCAGTTAACTGTTTGTGGATCCCGGTTCTGGAGTTGTTATTAGCAGAGATTTATGACAACTAATTAATTGTCTCCAGATTATTTTTTGCAGTCGTCTTCCTAGGTACACGTAGGGTCCTGTGTGTGATAGCGTTACCACAGATGTGGCGCTGTTGACTCTGTTGCCTTTGTAAGTATGTAAATCATTAGTATCTTGATTTCTTAAAATAATCAGCTCCTTGATTGTGACCAAGAACTCTACAAGAACTTCCCTCTGGTGATCTCCGAACGATGGCAGCAGGAAGTAACAGAAACAGTTTATGAAGCAGTAAATGCAGACATGGATAAAATTGAGGCCAGGAAGAGAGCTAAAAATAAGCAACTTGGCCATGAAGAAGGTAAAATAGCTCATGTGTCTTGATATGTTTTCATGCAATGAATTATCAACATTTCTTATAAAATCTGAAAAAGTATTTGGGTCATAAAAGTATTTTTCAGTAGAGAAGAAAGCACTGCCATAAATTGTTTTAGTTTTCTCTGGCTTGGAAGAACTTGGTATACTAATTCAAAGTCATCAGTCGACACATGAATAAATGCGTATGAAAACAGCAGAACTTTGTGAATACAGTGGGGGATCCAAAAAATCGAAATTATTGGAATTTATTTATAAAAAATTGTGTATTGATTCTTATATGCTTAAACTTCAGTCACCTTCAAAATACTCTCCGTTTGATGCAATACAGCTATCAAGATGCTTTTCCACTGCTCAACACAGTTTTTTAACTCATCAATTTTGATGCCTTGTAGTGCTTCTGTAGTTTTTTTGTTTCACCTCTTCCACATCGGCAAAGAATTTCCCTTTGAGAGACATTTCATCAGGGGAAACAAAAAAAATAGTGACTCAGGGAGAGAGCGGGTGAATAGGGAGGGTAGGGCACAGGTCGTGTCATCTTTGGACAAAAACTGCTGAATTCACCGTGGTGTGGGCAGATGTGCTTGTAAATCACCTATCGTGAAATGGGCAAACGCGTTCGTTGAAAGAATCTTTCAAAAAAATTTCACTAAAGCCAAATGTAACCTCTCACGACAACGCTAGCTGGTCCACTAATATCAATGGATTCCTAGAACACTTACCTAGCAGGGGAAACCTGTACTATAAGGGGCCTGCTATCCAAAAAAGACAATTCTGTATTTTTGCTCCCCCCCCGCCCATATGTCCTCGTATCTTAGAGTGCTTGGGGGCTAATTTAGAAGTTTTTCCCTTGAATATTGAGTATAGAAGTGTCAGAAACTGGACCGGGGTCATTGGCATGTGCCCTGTGCAGCCATGTAGAGTGCCGTACTCTAGCACTCTGTTGTGATTATCTTGAGAGTCTTAATGATTTTTGAACATGGGCCCCATGAAGTACATAGTGGTGCTGCTGAGGAACTTGGCATGACATGTCATTTGTCAAGAGAGAGAAAGGTATAAATGTATTTCTATTACAAACAGCATTAAAGAATCATCAAACTGCACTTATATGTAAAATCATTGAGTGCCCTTTTAGGAATTCCAAAGTAGGAAACAATGGCAAGTATTAAATAAGTCATTCTTGATTCACTAAGTATTGTTACTTTTGGTTTTTCTAAGATTTCATGAATTTGAGATCTTTGAATTTATTGTAGTTGATGTTTATGGTCAAATATTACAGTAAGTCCCCTACTTACAAACCTTCAAGTTACAAATTTTATGAGTTCTTACAGTTTTTCATGAACTATTGCTCTCCATCGGGTGTCAGTATAGCCTGTTAAATACATTCAGTACTATATAGCTGATTGTGTTAGTTGGTTACCTAGGCTAAGTTTTTTGGACTTACAGCAAATGAACTTATGAATGTGCTCTTGGAACTGAACTCATTTGTATGTTAGGAACTTCCTGTATTTCATTTTACCTCTGAGCAAAGACCCTTGTGAGGTTAATCTTATGTAATAAGAATGGCCAGAAATGCTTTCACTCTATTAGTAGGTTACTTTGGTGGAGACATCTTGGTATAGGATTCATTGGTCTTGTCTGACCATTTCCTGTAGCATTTAAAGTGTCCTCAGTCTTGATTGACTTAACCCTGTACATTAAAGTTGTCAGAATGCGCCAAGGAAGTACTGCATTCCTTTAACTGTGCTCACTTAAATTCTGCTGGGACATGGCCTTTTTTTGGTAAGCTCTTCTTTAGAGAATGAGTTTATTATGATCACGGTAGGCTGTGTTTACCACAGCAGATTTTATACAGGAAATTGTATTAATGAGAGTTTGCTCAAAGGAGGGCCAAGATGTCATTAAAATCCTAACAAATTGGACCCAGAACAAGATAGACAGAATGTCTAGCAAATTAATGAATTTATCTTCACATGTTAGTAAGTAATTTGTGCATAACTAAGTCTTGGCTGGTGATCTCGGAAGTCATCTTTACAGAAAAATATAGTCTAGACTTAGATCTCTGAAAACAAATACAACTCAATTAGTCATCCATCTCTGTAGGTTCCGCCTCTGCAGATTTGACAGACCATGGATCGAAGATATTTAGAAAAAAAAATTTAACAATAAAAAATAGTATAATAAAAACAGTAAGGCATAATAAAAACAATACAGTATAATAACTATTTCTGGAGCATCTACATTGTGTTAGATATTATTAGTAACCTAGAGATGATTTAGCGTATATGGGAGGATGTGCATAGGTTATATGCAAACACGATGCCATTTTATATCAGGGGCTTGCGCATCCATGAATTTTGGCTTCTGCCAGGGCCCTGGAGATATTGAGGGCTGACTGTACTATTTTAAACAGACTTTGGAAGTGCAAGCACTTTTTCGATTAAAAAGGCAGCTTCACAAACTGCCCTCATCACCCTGACCCTCCCTGATTCTCTCCTCTATTCTTCCCTGCTTGTCTCCAGATGACATATGGGTTCTGCTCATGTGTCTGTGATCTGAATCTCTCACAAGATTGTAAGCTCCCAGAGGCAGGAATTTTTGTCTCTTTTGTTCACTGCTAAATCCAGAATGCCTGGAACATGCCCAGTACCTAGGCATTTACATCATAGGTGTTGAATGAATGCGTGAGTGAATGAATGACTTTCACACAATCACCAAAGCCTTTCATGAAGGCTTTAAAATTAACTTTTTAAAAAAATATAAACCATACTTCACCATAAAAATGAATCAGAAGCCGGGCTCGGTGGCTCAGCGTATAATCCCACGCTTTGTGAGGCTGAGGTGAGTGGATTGCCTGAGCCAGTGGGTTCGTTACCCAGCTGGGCAACTTGGCGAGACCTCATCTCTACAATAAATCAAAAAATTAGCCGGGCATGGTAGCGCACGCCTGTAGTTCCAGCTGAGGAAGGCTGAGACGGAAGGATCGCCAGAACCCAGCAGGTTGAGGCTACAGTGGCCGGGAGCAGCCACTGCACTCCAGTCTGGGTGACAGAGTGAGACTCCAACTCAAAAAAAAAATGTAATCAGGACTCAACATGTATGTGAATTGTCTCTATCCATAATCATGTATTTGAGGAATAAACGCAACCTTAAGCTGAGGAATGAACTGGTTTTGAACCTTGTTACCTTAGCTTACTTGGACAAGAAATTTCCTATTTTATTATTATTTGTAAGATAAAGGGTAGATTAAAGGGAGAATCCCAATTCCATATAAAAGCAAAGGTACTTTGGGGATAACTTGACTTTACTCTGTTCTCCAATTTTCATTATACATAATGAAAAAAATAGTTTGGGAACTAACTTCTGGCCTCCCAGGACAGCAATAAATGAGTGTCATGAGTTTATCAGATTGCTGAGAAGAAGCCATTTACTACTTTAGCAGAGAGAGCATGGAAGAGCCCTCTGTTCTTTAAATTCCCAGTGCACGGGTGCTTCAAATGAAAAAGATGACTTCTGTAACACGTTACATTTAGAAACCTGATTTCCTCAAAATGTATGTCATTCTTCTTTCTGAGGATAATACTGCTAAGACATTTTGTTTCAGAGCCTATTTAACTCACTGTTATTTTCTTTTCCTCAGATTACGCTCTGGGAAAAGACTGTATTATGCACGGGTACATGCTGAAACTGGGAAACCCATTTCTGACTCAGTGGCAGCGTCGCTATTTTTACCTCTTTCCAAATAGACTTGAATGGAGAGGAGAAGGGGAGTCACGGGTAAGCTGGAGGCAGTCCTGCCAAGTTCACGTTGCAGCGTGTCCAGTGTCATGTGGCTATCGCATGTTGCTGACATGTTTTATAAAGTATCCTCCTGAACTCGGTGTATCTATTTCACCTTGCATACATGAGATGGTAATGTTCCAACTTTAACCTTTAAAACTGCCAAGGCAAGGAAGAACTTTGTATTATCTGAGAACAAAGCGAGCTGTTTAATGAGGTCAAAAGTACCACATCAGCAGATAGGTTTAAGAAGGCTGGAGAGCGAGCTCTTGGGTAGATCAAAAAGAAAAGACAAGCTGGGACTTTGGAGTCAGACCGAGGTGGTCAGATCTATTGCTCAGTGTCTCTTGAACTATGAGCACACCACACTGACCCTCTGAGCTTCAGTTTTCTCATTTGTGAAATGAGAGAAATGGAAATCATAACAGCGTCATCAGGCCTCTGCATTCATGATTCTGCATCTTCAGATTCAACCAACCAAGGAGGGAAAACATTCGGGGGGAAAATAACAATACAACAGAAAACAGTACAGTACAACAACTATTTACAGAGCATTTACATTGTATTAGGTATTATAAATAATCTAGAGAGGATTGAAAGTTTACAGGAAGATCGCATAGGTTATATGCAAATACTACACATTTTGTAAACAGGTCTTGAGCATCCCTGGATTTTGGTATCCTGGTGGATCATAGAACCGATCTCCCGTGAATACCGAGGGTTGACTGTACTATAATGTTTGGCTGTTTATATGAAGTCAGGTACTATTAAGAACACAAGCTGAGACTGTTTAGCATCCTTTAGGGGGTCCAACCCTCATTTTCTAAAGAGGAAACCAGAGCTTAGAAAGGAAATGTCTGGCACCATGGACACAACTGGACAGTAGGGGGTGGGGGTAGTCTAGACCCAGGACTCCTTGTGCTCTCAGTCTCTCCACTGCATAACCTCTCCCAGCTCAGTCAAGTAAGATGTTGTAAGCTGTGATGCTTGGCACAGAGGCACAGTTGCCAAATGATGCTTCCTTTAGTCTCCACCTTGTCAGAAATGTGTAGGTGGGTCATATAATAGACAGGAAGATATAGCACCCTCTAAGATGCTTTCCAGAGCTAATGTTGGTGAACAAGATGAAAAGAAATTTCTGGTCCACACCGTGCCTTTTAGCAATCAGGCAGTATCTACTAGGCACTCACTATGTAAGGAGTCCAGGGCTTGTCACTCTGCAAGAAGCAACCCTTCCCAACATGGAAGGCATGCCTTCTGCTCCTGAGGAGGCCCTGCGAGTGATTGTAAGCAGGACAGTGGTCTCAGACATTAAAAACAGTCATTTGTGTGTTGGACGTATTAGAATACCACTCATCATTTCTCCAGTAGTCAGAAGTGTGGAAAACAGTAGGCTTAAATCTTATATATTTGACTTTGGACTGTGTTTTTTAATCCCTGTTGGCCAAGTTGCCATTTAATTATGAATGATTGTGCAATTACCTGTTAGTAAACTCCTTTTTTTCTCATTTTTATTTTAGATGCAGGGGTTATACATGCATGTTTTTTACATGGACATGTTATATAGTGTTGGGGATTTGGACTCAGGTGGCCCATTCCCCAGATAGTGAACACATTCCCAATAGGTAATTTCTGAGCCCTACTTGCTTCCCCTCTCCCCCCCTTATTGCTGTCCCCAGTGTCTGTTATTTACATCTTTGTGACCATTTAGCACCCAAGGATGAGCGAGAACATGCGACATTTGGTTTTCTGTTTCTGAGTCAGTTCACGTAGGATGATGATCTCCAGCTCCGTCCATGTTGCTGCAAAGGACATGATTTCATTCTTTTTTATAGCTGTGCACATTTCTTTAATAACAAACAAGATCTTCTCCCTATTATTTGTGCCATAGTACCTGTGCTGTAGAAGTCATTAAGAAAATTAGGATCTAGGATCTGAGTACCAATTACTTAGGCTCTTTTGGGGACCCTGAATTATATCTCAGATGCTGGTAAGTAGTCAAGTAGCTCTCTGAAGCTCAAACAATTTCCAGATAACAAGTGGACCTGGGCGTAGCATACTTTCATTATGTGACCTACCAGTAGGTCACTGTTGTGCACATTAAAAGGAAATTGTCTAATTTCTCATGAAAACTAAAAAAACTAAAACCAAACCAAAACAAAACAAAAAACCTTCCTTTGTGTAATATTGGATGCAATAAATTATCTTGGTTTTGTAAGACTCAACCTTTAGTGTTTGAGTGGATTTGTAAGTATAAAAAAGAAAAAAGAAAACATGAGGGTTGAGGATGGTGTTGGTTTTCATTTAGGATTTCTGGAGTATTTACCCCAAAAAACATAAAAAGGTAAGGAAGTCATGACTATAGCATTCACCTGAAGCAATAATGCTATAGACTTAGTATGACAATCTTTTAAGGAAATCACCTGTAGCTACAACTCATTTTGATATTATCAATATAGTATCAACTGACAAGCTGGTATCACCCAACATTTCCCAAGCTGCTGTGTTAGAACTGACCTCTACACCTCTGCTCACATGAGTTGTCTGCAGGGATTCCTTGTTCCCTCACAACTTTGTTGATATAATTTAGATAAGTGCACAGTACACAAAGTATGCTTATGATTCATGACCATCCAAGATCAGTTCTGTGCAGAGGGAAACAGCTTTGCTGGATTTTTTTATTGACGTATTTCTTTCTTTGCAATATTCTTTGAAATATTATAATTTGAACTTTTATGTGTTCCTTTGTCGCCATCTCCCCCTCACTTCTAGAATATCATCAAAGGAAGGAAAATGTCATTTTTAAAAAACTTGTTTTAAACTGGTAGTTTTTGGTATTATGACTTATTAATTTAACTCAAGAACTCATAAGATAATTTGAAGTAAATTTTAATTTTTGTTTTATGGCTAGCAAAACTTGCTGACGATGGAACAGATTCTTTCTGTGGAAGAAACTCAGATTAAAGACAAAAAATGTATTTTGTTCAGAATAAAAGGAGGAAAACAATTTGTCTTGCAATGTGAGGTGAGTTTTTATTTTTTCTTAGGAACAATTATATAGATATTCAGAAAATATGGCTGCTTGACTATAAAAAATTTTCTTACTCCATGCTTAGTCACTTACAAACTTAGTAATTACAAAAGCCCCAAGTACAAGGTTTTAGCAAATAAACCATTTTTTTAATGTGAAATTTCATTACCCTGTTTCAGAATAATTTCAAACTCTGTTCAGTAGTTAATGGGACTTAGAGTTTCATTTGTTCTGTAACTTTCAAGATCTTATCTGTCAGTGAGTATGCAGGTGAGGTTTATCTATTTAAATAAACATAAGACACCAAAGTGACTTCTCTAAGGGAAACTCCATCTTTCTTTTTCTCAAAGTTGTATAGTAGCACAAGTTTAATTCCTGAACACTTTTCTACTGGTGCACCAGTATGTGTCTGTGTGTTTTATTTTTATTTTTACTTTTTTGAAGGTAAAAGCAAAGAGTAGTTTATTTAGCAAAAACAAGAGGTGACAGTACACTTCCAAGAGAGGAACAGGCCACACTGAGAGTAGCTCAAGATCCCTGTGTGTGTTTTAAGAGAGCATATTTAGAGAAATAAGTATTAGACTTTTTAAAAACCACATTTTTAATAATTTCATTACCATATCACACACGTGAAGTTCTACTTTGTCAGAACTCCTCCCCATATTATTGTAGCCTTCAGTTATTTGAAGCCAAAGGTAATCTCGAAACAAATCAAAGACAGTGATTCTCAGAGTGGGGTCATGTGGGGTCATCTTCAGGACAGCATGGCCTTTCTCTTCTCTTTGCAAGAGATTCCAGAAGAGGCATCAGCACGACCCACCAGTTAGCAACGCCACTGTGGCATGGACACATGCGATGTGCTTTCATTCGGGGGTTCCAGGGATGTTGGTAATCATTGGAGCCATCCACAGTTGTTGGCAAAATGGGTGACTGTCACAACTTTTGTGTTTCCGTCAGAGTGATCCAGAGTTTATGCAGTGGAAGAAAGAGTTGACCGAAACTTTCACCGAGGCCCAGCGGTTACTACGCCGCGCTCCGAAGTTCCTCAATAAACCTCGATCCAGCATTGTGGAGCTCGCAAAGCCACCCCTGTGTCACAGAAACAGTAATGGCCTCTAGCACCCAGCAGCAGCAAGAGCCTACAAGGAGTCTACACTGGGGTTTTCCGCCCTTGAGCAGAGCCTTTGGAGACATGTGAGGGTGAGACATCTGACTAACTGACCACTGGCTCTTCCACTCTAGGAAGACCAGGACACCAACATGCTCCTAATAGGAGTCGGGACTGTCCTCAGGCTCGGGGTCAGCCTTGTCCCCTTCCTGATCACATTTGTCCACAACTGAAACTACTGAAGACATGAAAGTCCTTTTTCTTTGCTACATACTTCTTTTGGTATCCTGTGAATCTAGAACTTGAAATGATTCCGACTTATGACTCAGATTTTTATGTGTGATATGAGACACATCTTAGACTTTCCAGTGTTGGGTAATAGATTGCCCTAAGCATTGCCATATTTTATCTATATACAGCCTCTGCTGATTTTATATGTCTTTGCTTCATCTTTTTGGGGGCTGCCAGAGCCACCATGTGTTTCTTTTGTGCACTTCAAAACTGACTTCTTCTTTGTCCTGAGGTTAAAAGTTGAAGATATTTTTTGATGAGGGTACCCTTGGGCCCTGTCCTGGGAGCTGTGCCCACATGCGTTGCCCTGCCTCTGCCCAGGCTGTTCTGGGTTTACAGGGTTAACTAATCATTGAAGGCATCCATCTGTCAGTCATTGAAAGATTCTGAGTAGAGCTTTAGGTTTCAGGGACGATAGCAATTTCCAGAAGTCTTCACGTCCAGCGTGCTCAAGTGGACAGCATCTCTCTGAGTCTGGGTACAAAGAAACACTGTGGGTGAGGCCTTCTTGGGTCTCAACAACGAGTAGTCATATGACCATCATTGTGATTCCTTCTACCTGACCCCAGGAAACATATCAGTAATGGCCATGCAAAAAAAGGTCTGTTTTACATTTTAGTATAATTTAAAATGAATTTTATTGAAAAGCAAATGCTGAAGAATGACTGTGTCACCATGGGGTAACTGTGTATATTGACTTTTATGTTGTTATTTGTCTGTCATTAATGAATGACATTTTGCACTGGGCTGTTGTACACGGTGGTGACATTAGGACCGAAGACTTGTCGCCTGATCCCAGCAGCATCCTCCCCTGAAGCTTGTTTTCCCATTGCCTCCATGCCTTGTTGACACCCCTGAGTCAATGCTGATTTGTGAGAACCAGCAAAGTTCCCTGTGTCACCAGGCTAAAAAATAATAATTTAAAATGTTCACATATTTGTCCTGTTCTTGGTATAGTTTTATTGTATGTCCTTTAAGTTAACTACTAATGACATAAATAACTTGACATCATGATAATCTGTATCCTGTCCTCAATAGTTTTAGTGTTTCCAAATCTTTGTTTTTATATTTGTGTACTGTGTTCATTGGGAAAGTCAGCACTTTTCAGTGAAATTTGTGATTGTGTGTTGTGAGTTTGGAAGATAATTTATGGAAAGAGTATATTATTTCATGGGATTACTGTGGAAAAGAACTTTTGGAGTTTGTTGTCCATCTCAGCTATTAGTTGGGAGTTAAATTAGCATTCATGTTCTACCGTCTGTGATTTCCAGCGCAGGAAGAAGGATACCACTTACATGAATTCCCCTTACTCAAAAGGGAAGAATAGTATTCAAATTAGGCTTGAAAGCACCACCAGAAACAGAAAAGCCACTATTTTTGAAGAGGAGTGTCTTCCCAGCTCTGGTTATTCATAGCCATGACTGTTGTAGTTCCATCTGGGTTGGCAGGCTTATGTGTGCTCAGCCTGTGCAGTTTGGGAAGCGCTGCGCCCACATCTCTCCAGATAGAGACAAGGCCTCCTGTCAAGAAGGCGATGAAGCAAGAAGGCATCATGACTCCATCAGGACTGGGCACAGCGTCGTCCTTCTCGTATCCGGGTTTTAGCTACGCAGTGTTCAAAAAGATTATCAAACTGTCCTATACTTGACATAAAATTACCAATCCACATCTCTTCCAAAAATTTCATTTCTGCTCTGAAGTAGAACATACATTCACCTCTCTTTTAGGAAAAAAATATGAATTGGAAAATGTCCCAAAAGCCCCTTTGCCTCAAACTTATTCCCCAGCTCACACTTGATTTACAGTGAGATGGCTGAGAAGATGTCATTTATTAAAAGTGTTTTGTGAGATTAGGATGGGCTGCTTCTGAGGGCGGTTATCGACTGTGTGAGAGGCTGGTTTGGTGTTCTGGAAGGCCAGCCTTCTGCTGGCATGTTATAATGGAGGCGTTTTTTCCACCAGACAGAAAATACAGCTGTGCCTATACCAGGTACCCGCGTGGTCCAAGAAGTCGGTTGGGTTAGAAGTCTTGGTGGACTTTGCTGTTTTAGCTTTCCAGAGTGCTACATAATTCCTAGAGGTTTACCTTCCTTACATTTGGACTATTAAAAAGAACAAATTTCAGCTCACATTTTCTCACATTTTAGACTTCTACGGTTGGGACATTTTAACGTCATCAAGGAAGATAATTGAGGTTGATATTTTTATTAAATTATGTTATATTTTGTCTTGATTTCATAGTCAAAGGAATCAATAAAGCAGTGACTAAAAATAATAAACTGCTTTCAGCTGCTATACAGCATATATGGAGTAAAGGTAAAACATTTGTGAATCCAAGTTTATTCTTTTTAACCTGAAACATTCTCTTTGGTGCATTTAACCCCTCATGTCAGTAGGATTAATTGTTTTTCCCTCTTTGTCATAGTTAAGTATGATTTTTCAGCAAAACTTCTAGAACTGGGCTTGTTTCTCTGTTAAAGTGCTCCTGCCTCTAATTGGTCAGTTCACTGACATTTCCGTGTCAAAATCCATATATGAGAAAAAGAGGCCACATGTGCTGAGGCATACTGGGGAGAGAAAGCATTCTGCTCACACAGGACCGCAGCCACATACTGCGATCTTCTTGGTGACAGACAAGGTCTAGCTTGTTTGCAGTTTGAAATATGCCACAGGGATACAAGAAACCACTCTTTTAGGACCTTCTTGGCCATAAGAAAAATTTATACCAATTGACAGTGGGATTTCACTAGATTAAAGAGATCAAAGGGTAATTTTTTTTTCTGATTTATTTCATTCAGAATTTGTAGTTGAACTGATTCAATACATTTGACTTTTCAACAGAATTGATTTTCCTAATAAGTGTTTCAAAATTTTAACACATCAAGAAGAAAATAGAACCCACAAAGTTTGAACCTTTTCACCTGATATAAATCTATAAAAATGCTTTGTTATGTGCTGGATTTATCGGGTATGATTTAATCATATGCCATTTTTTCTCATTTATGTTCAGGGAAATGTTTCTGTGTCATTCAGAGATGTTTGATGAATTAACACCTTCTCACCCAGTGTGGGGGATTTACTTGTTCTTTGTACTCGATGAGTTGGGCTTCACTGGGATCTGTGAGAGGTGGTAGGTAGAGTGGGTGTCACCAAAAGAAGAATAGTAATAGAAATGGGGTGAGGGAAGAAAGGAGTTCATTTGCTAATCAGAATCATTCGTCTTACATGTAAAACACCAAGGAAATGACTGAGTTAAGGTTGGTGGGTTTTGGGTTGTTTTTTTTTTTCTATAACAGGGGTGGTTTTTTCCCCCCTTATAATTACAATAATAACTAGTGTAAGACTCAGTCATTTTCTTTTTGAATATGAAGCTGCTGAACTGATTAAAAGGCCTTTTGCTCTCCCAGGACTTTCCAAGGAAGTTATGGTGTCCTGCCTGTCCTCCAGAGCCCTCCTGTGAAGGAGTGGGGGCCTCAGGCCTAAAGCAGCACCGGCCACCTCTGAAACACTTGTGCTGGTGTGTGCACTTTGCAGCCCATGGAGGTGGAGAGATGGTGTCACTGTGGATGCATTATCCAGTTGGTCAGCTGGGAACATAGTGACAAGTCCCTGATGTTCTAGTCAATCCCGCAGAATAACAGCCTCCTAGCCTGTTTGTGCCATGTCCACTTAACAGTGAGCTTTAATAGTTTACATTCTAAAAAAAAAAAAAAGTTTCCTAAAGATCTAACATGATTTTTCCCTCCCATGTAAGGTTTACTTGAGAGGTTTGAATTAATTACTTAAACTCACGTTAATATGAAGTTTTATTTTTTAAATCCAGGCCACATTTGAACAAATTTTACTATGGAATGAATTAAAGCAAAACTATAAAATAATACTCTTTGGTTTCCTCAAGTCATGATGGGCTTGAGATTTTCTTTGTCCTCAAAGACTGAAAGAGATGTTCTTTTGCAGCGGAATAGCAGGGGTGCCTCCCACAGCCCACTCGAAGACCTGGCTGTGTTTGTGTTGACTGATAAATGCAAGACCCCAAATTTTAATTTGGCTTTATTTAAAACAAGCAAACAAAAACTACAGAAAGTGTGTTAACAGTATATGCATTTCATCAAAAACATGGAGGAGGAAAAACTCTTCATTTTAGAGTTAAATAACTGAAATTCATACAGTAAAATTAGCTCTGTTGTATCTAATAATCTCAAAATCATCTCTGAAAATTCATAACGAGGCTTCTGGCTTTTATTTTGTCCTAAATATTGGTTGTCTTTGATGTAAGGGTAGGGAATGGAGAAATCATTTCAATTGTGTATTTGTATTACAAAGAACTTGAAATTTAATTTGTTTTTTAGCTGATGATGTTCTATGATGTATATATTGTGTGTGGTTTATAAGCTAAACACTGGCCTTTTTTTTAAATTTTATTGTTAAATTGTATTTTTCTATGTTTTAACTAATTATAATAGATTTGGCTTTTTCTGGATAACATAAAGATTGCCAAACTGTATATATATACATATATATATATATATATATATATATATATATATATAAAACAAGAGTTCTATTTTAGCGCAAAAGCATTTTATATTGTTTATTGCGTCCATAAGTTTATTTTCATCACAAACATTCCATATCATTTCTGCTCCTTCTTGTTTGTGTAGTTTATTATTCAAGGAATGACAGCCCTTTCTGTTTTTCATACAATAAAACTGAAATAATGCATGTGGGACAGACAGCTCTTCTCACTGCCGTGAACCGTCTTCATCAGCCGTTTATCTTCTGGTCTGTGCCAGAGCCGTGTGACTGTGTCTTATAGTATCCGGCAGCAAATTTGGTGTGAAATACTGCTTTCATCTACCTCTTCTGAAGGCCTGTTATTCAGTGACAAGTATCCCAAAGGCTTTATTCTGGACCGGCTGTATCAAAAGAATTTCTGTGAGATGCTGCGGTGCGATTCCCTTATAACCTGGATTTGTTGATAAAGCCACAGCATCGTCCAGGGGCCCCGGCGAGCCAGGCAAGTCGAGATCCCTTCTGCAGAGCCATCCTTGGGATTCGAGGTGCAACTGCTCTTACTCTTAGTGTGCCAGTCTCCTGCCATCCATCTCCCCATGGCCTCAAGATTTGACGATGGGACCTGGTTTTACACTTCTGTGCGAAGGCAAGCTGTGTTGAAAAACACGGCTGTTAGGAGTCACACCTCTGAAGGTGACCTTTTCCCCCTTCACTATTTCAAAATGGTTTGGAAAATGGGGTCATGTAGGCAAATGTCCTCATGTGTGATGAAAACTTTGTAAGAATTCTTATTTTCTAATGGGCCCTTGGGTGTTTATGTGAAATAGAATGAAGACCTGTGGGGTGCCTCCTCCCTCTTCCCTCTGCCTGTCTTCATAGTTGCGGAGCCATCAACGCTGTTACTATATTCTTGGCAAAGTGTAATCCCCTTAAAGAAATAAATCCATTTTTCATTGTGCATTGATATACAAAAGTGAAGCCAGTGAACTAGGTATTATAAATCTAGATGGTGTACCTAGCAAATATCATTTGTTTGATCTCTCTTCTTATATATCGTGCCAGTGAAGGTTTATAATCCCTTCCCAGTACACGCTCCCTAGTGCACGTCTGAAATCGTGTCCTCTGTGAGATGCTGCTTCACATGTAAGGCCCCTTGCCCTGTGGTTGGTTAGCATCACCATCTTTTACAGTTATTTTGCAGCAGCTAGGCTTGTTTTCTGTGTTGGCAAATTGCTTATATAAATCTCAATAAAAAAGATGTGCACAAAGATACCTACTCCAGTGTGCTGTTTCCCACCCCCCACCTCACTCAAAGCTATGTTTCTTTATCAAGCTTTTACAATATCAGGAGGTGACTCATTGGAAATTCATGCAGAGGTTGCTTTTATAAAGAGGAAGGGGACTCCCAGAAGCATTTCTGCTGATTTCATGGATTGCTGGGGCCCAGCCCACTGCCCCAACTCAGGGTTCTGGAAACTAGCTGCTTGGCCTTCTCTACAATGTGTTGCAAGAGGGGAGTCTGGAAAGCCCAGGACATAAGGAAACCCGGTGGGTTCATCTTGCTTCCAGTTTGTCTAGAAGCTGTGTCATGCTCCCCAACCCACTTCCAGGAGTAATCTGGGTTCCCTCTCAGAAGACAAGACCCCTTGCTCTGTCTCTCTATGCCCGTGGAGATGTGCTGAGGGACCTGTGGTACATGTCACTTCACGCCAGAAATCCCAAGGAGGTGGTGGTCCCCAAGCCACAGCTGCCTGGCCAGAAATGTCTGCTTGTGGGTCCACAGGTCGATGGCAGGCTGGGCATTTCCTGTCCTTGAGCTGGACAGGAAACACCCTGCCTCTTGCTAGTTCAGGAAAGAAGGGAGTCACTGTGGGCCCACATAGCCATCAAGTTTCCAGGAGACCCAGCTGTGGCGTGTGTAGTCAGGTGCACAGGCAGAAAGTGTCAGTCATCACAGAACCCTTAGTCTGCTGCTTACATTGTCAGTCATTATTTCCCCACAGTCTCTGGGTCAAAGGCCCAGCTCTTCACTTACCCTTCTATTCTACAGTAGTCACGGTCTTGATTTGATGGCCTGTAAACCACGTCTCTGCCCAGAGGTAGGACAGGATAGAAGGAAACCCAGCACCCAGGAGCCCCCCAGGACCTGCGCCCTTCATCTGCACAGTGGGCGTGATGATAACACACACCCTGTGTCCATGACAGGTGTTCTAAGGATGTAGTAGGTGAAAACATGCAAAGCTCAGAACAGCGTGCAACACAGTATTCTCACAATGCAGATTCACCTTTTGCTTTTGTGAATATTTTGAGCTGTTTGCGGATCCCAGCAGCATGTTTTAAACCACACGGCTCACTATGCCAGGCCAGGGAATGCCATCAAGTCTGAAGCCCAGACATGGGAGGGGACCTCACTTTCAGGGATGGCGTGCAGAGCCAGGCACCTCCTGAGGCAGCAGGAGGGAACAGTGTGCCCCCTTCCTCATGACCTTGAAACATGTCCCTGGGGTCAGTCAGGATGCTGCTACTGAGTAAGGGAAGTGCTGCTTACAATCTAAATAACTGAAATGTGTTTAAAAGCCTAAATTTACACCAATTATAACTTGAATCAACCATGGTGTGGGTTTGCCCATGGTTCAACTGTAGGTTTTCACTTGTGTTTCTGATGCAGATGGTGATTTAAAAATTTTTTTTTAAATCAGAGGTCTCACTCTGTCACCCAGATGGAGTGTAGTGACACTATCACAGCTCACCACAGCCTCGACCTCCTGGGCTCAGGTGATCCTTCCGCCTCAGCTTCCCGAATAGCTGGGAGTATAGGCATGTGCCACCATGCCCAGCTAATTTTTTTTATTTTCTGTAAAGATGAGGTCTCGCTATGTTGCTCAGGCTGGTCTTGAACTCCTAGGTTCAGGCAGTCCTCTCACCTCAGCCTCCCAAAGTGCTGGGATTACAAGTGTGAGACACTGTGCCTGGCCTGGATTTTTTAAAATACATATATACTTTTAGATGCTGGGTCTCATTCTGTCACCCAGGCTGGTGTGCAGTGTCATGATCATGGCTCACCGCAACCTCAAACTCAAGCAATCCTCCTGCCTCAACCTCCTGAGTAGCTGGGACTACTTGACTAATTTTAATATTTTTTTTAGAAGTGGGATCTCACTATGTTGCTCAGTCTGGTCTCAAACATCTGGTTTCAAGTGATCCTCCTGCCTCAGCCTCCCAATGTGCTAGGATTACAGGTGTAAGCCACCACGCCCAGTCCAGCAGGGATTTTTGATAATACTGCTTTTGGGAAGTCATCCTTCTTTAGGGAGCATCAAATTCAGGGTGTTCCTTCCACCTGGCAGAAAATCAGTTGGTGTTACCTATCTGTTTGTCAGCTGGTCTAACTCTTAAGTGTCCTTTACTGTTTCCATGAGGTTCCCCCTTTCAAATTCCTATTGTCCGGAGCTCACTCTTAGCTGGGGCCAATGGATAAGGACACAGGAGCAAGAACTGGTGTTTGGCTCTCACTGCCTTTGTAGCGTGTTTGTGAGTGTTGCACTTGGAGGGGGTCCCAAGGCACATCATCCAGTTTCAGAATTAAAGACTTCAGTCTTAGCCTCTTCACCAAAGGTCCACGTGACGGGAGAACAAGTAATACATGTGAGTTATATTAAGACACCTGCAGAAACCAGGAGACATTTTCTCGTTAATCTCAATTCAGGCTGCCTGGCTCTATTTTTTTTTTAAAGATGTGGGGTACAATTCAGGATTAGGTATACAAGTCATCATTGTACAGGTAAAGTTTGGGCCTCCCTTTGATCCCCACTTTTCCTGGTTTGAGATCAGGTACCCTTGTTGATGTTGTATCTCCCCTCCTACCCCCACCCCAGCAGTATCCCGCTACTGCCAATTCCTTTCTTATAGTAGTAAATATTCAGGATCCGCTTATGAGTGAGAACATGTGGTATGCAGTTCTTTGTTTCTGTGATAGATCACTGAGTATGATAGACTCTAAATCCATCCAAGTTGCTGCGAAGTCCATATGTTTCTCCTTCATTGTGGCTGCATAATATTCCATTGTGTATATGTACCACATTTTTTTATCCAGTCCATTTTCTATGGTGCCTGCCTCTTTTTCAAATATCAACTGGATAAAATACGGGCACATTTTAGACTTTAAGTTCAAACTGGGTGTTGAAAATTCTAGGGCAACCACTGAAAGGATAGAAAATAGTGAATAACTCCCAAACTAGTATCAGGAAAAATGGAAAATCAGGAAGAAAAACTCGATCCCCAAAAAGCAAAGAAAAAGATGATAAGAATTTAACTTTTGTTCATTGAAAGACACACAGGATGAAAGACAAGTCATGAAACTGAGAAAAGATGTGCAAAACGTATGAGTAAAAGACTAGTAGGTATAACATATGAAATATCTCTATACATCTTTCATCTATAAAACTATAAGAAATTGGATCATCTGGTGGGAAAATGGGCAATATAGCAAAACATGATTCACAAAAAACATAAGTGGCCCAGAAACACAAAAAGATGCACATTATTAGTAATGAGACAGTGGAAAATTACTAATGTTCACTTCATAAAGACAAACATTGATTACCTATAGGGTACAATGTTTACCATCTGGGGTATGAGCTACCTAATCACCCAATCCCCACCACTGCACAGAATGTCCATGTAATAAACATGTGTGTGTGACCCCGGAATCTAAAGTAAAAGTTTAAAAAAAGGACAAAAATTAAAAATTAAGTCTGATCATTTTCAAGTGCTGGAGAAAATGTGGAGCAACCGGTACTCTGTGTGCTTGTACCTGTGTGCATTCGTAAAACACTTTTGAGAACAATTTGCTATTTTCTAGAAAATATGAACTCGTGCATACCCTAGGACCTGTGAATTCCATCCCTAGTTGTACATGTACACTCTTTTTTTTTTTTTTTTTAGTAGGAGTGTCACTCTGTTGCCCAGGCTGGAGTGCAGTGGCACACTTAGGGCCACCCCATCGTCGACCTACTGAGCTCCAGTGATCCTTCTGCCTCAGCCTTCCAAGTGGCCAGAACTACAGGTGCACGTGCTACCATGCCTGGCTAATTTTTTTTTTTTTAACTGTAGAGACGAGGTCCTGTCAGGTTGTCCAGGCTGGTCTCGAACCTGTGGGCTTAGGCAATCCACTCGTCTCAGCCTCCCAAAGTGCTGGGATTACAGGCTGAGCCACCAAGCCTAGCCAATGCTGACATTTCTTTATCCATTCTACTTCTTTATCCGTTCTACAACTGATAGCTATTCAGTGTGTTCACAATTTTTGTCTGATACTACAAACAAGACTATGATGAATATTCTTGCCCACATCTCCTGGCACACACATGTAAGAGTTTTTCTAAGAGTATACACATGGACCAAGCGTGGTTACTTATGCCTGTAATCCCAGCACTTTAGGAGGTCAAGGTGAGAGGATTGCCTGAGCCCATGGGTTCAAGACCAGCCTGGGCAACTTGGTGAGACCTCATCTCTACAATAAATAAAAAAATTAGCCAGGCATTGTGGCACATGCCAGTAGTTCCAGCTACTTGGAAACTCAAAAAAAAAATAAAGAAAGAAAGAAAAAGAAATATCAGCATATTCATACTGCAGAATACCACACAGGAGTGCCACACACATATAGAAACACACAGGACTGTTCTGTTTATCAGCACACACAAGCACATGCACACACACAAGCTCCCATCATTGTCAGTGATATCCTACTCAAAGGACACAGGACAGCTTCTCTCTCTTTCACACACACGTATACAATAATACCCTCTCATAGGAGAGGGGATACCTTCCAAGATCCCCCAGTGGGTGCCTGAAACAGCAGATAGTACTGACCCTTACATAGACTAAGTCCTGCTCTGTACATACACACCTACGATAAAGTTTAATTTATAAATTAGTCGCCGTAAGAGACAAGAAAGTAAAACAATTATAACAATATCTTGATGCTGTAATAAAAGTTATATGAATGTAGTCTCTCAGTCTGTTTCTCTGTCACTCTATCTCTCCCTCCCTCTTTCTCCCCACCCCCAACATCCTATTATACCATACTCACCTGTTTTCAGATGGCAATTGACTGTGGGTAACTGAAACCTCAGAAATCAGAACCATGGATGAGAGGAACCACATACACCCACACATATCTCTGATAGCAATGGGATTGCCAGGACCCCAAAGTGACAGAGGCCAGGTGACAGTACTTCACCATCGCAAGCCAGGTGGAAGCCGTTATCCTAG